AGACCAGATTAGGAAAAATCAAAAGATTTTCGAGCCGCTGGCTGGTGTGATTCCAGCAGTAACTCGAGAAAAGCCGTTTGCGAGGGAGCTCTCACGCGCGATTGAGAGCTCTTGGGAAGGGTGCAGTGTCAAATCGAAAGGAGCAGGACAATTGGAAATCAAATATCTGTATAAGGGCATCACAAGGCTCGATAAAGAGCCCAATGACTACATAGTCCGAGAAATGATTCCTTGTAATGGCGGGGAGGAAGAAGAGAAGGAGAAAAGCGCCGGAACGGGACTCCAAAAGATCCAATCGCCGGTTTCCCCGCTCTCGACGCCTCTCAACGCGCGAATCTTTTACCACTTATGCCGTTCGTGTTTCACTTCTTTTTCTCCTATTGCTGACGGACGAACTTAATACTGTTTTTATATACTTTTTTTCTGGCTATTATTTCGGCCAAATAATTACTGTGTACAATGGTTTTGGGGCCCACTAATTGGGGTTTGTTTTTTTTTTTTTTTTTCCCTTACTACCTACCACACCAGGATAAAACAATGAGGGAGCTTGCGAGCGAAATAGAGCTGGCTAGGGAACAAGGCAAAACCTGAAATATTGTATAGGGCCACCGGAGTCCTCTTGAAAAACCGATGCGACTCATCCCAGTGAAATAGCGTAGAGAGCACTGTACGGAGTAGGAGTAGACAGAGGCCAAAAAAGGTCTAATAGCCTTGGGAGGCTTAACCCGCAAAACTCGACTTTGAACCTTCCTACGCTGTAGGAAGAGTAGGAACAACCGATCTAATGATTCCTACTTCTCAAGCTCTGTGTGTCCGGACGATCCTTCCTACCGAGTATGCCTCTCATTCCGAGCCGAACCAATTTTTGGCGTCGGCAGGACAACTTTGCTCAAGTTGCGAGTTGAAATGTATTCTTCTCAACATCTCGATGATGTATTTATTATTCCGATAAGTTCTCCGGGGTAGATTGGTGGTTGGATAGGCAAACCGAGGCTGTGAGCAAAGCCTTGCGGAGGGGTTCTATCTCACGATCGAGGTTCGTCGCGCGTTGCGCATTGCGCGAGTTAGGGCTATGCCTCCTGGTGTAATCAGCAACTTCGTGACCAGCATTGAAGTAATCCCGCACACCATTCCTTAGGGAGTGAGTTTTCTGTGAATGCAGGTATCGGGAGTACCCATCTGGGAGATGATCGGAGAGCGGGACTCTTGTTCCCCTCAAGTAGAGAATGCATCAGTACAATGGTTATAATAGACCATGGTATCGGGAAGATACATCAAACATGTGCTCTCAGATGTCCGATCTGCAGATTGTTTCTTCAGACCGATGTTCCTAGGTAATGCCACTTCTCGCCGAAGTCATTGGGTAGAGGATTACCAAAAGGAGATTAGCGTGATTTCTAAATTCCCGTGACTTGTCTCTTTCTCTTCATATCCCTCAACCCCTCTTAGTAGTTATTCTAGTTCCTTTGCCTTGACTTTAACACTGAATCTGGATCCAAGTTTGCTTCACTTCCGACCTTGGATCCCATCCCATCGATCTTGAATTTACAAGGTGCTGGGTAACAGCACTATTTTGTGGGTAGGTTGATATTCGTGTCTCCGGGATTGTGGACGGCAGAGGAACGCGGGGATTGGATCGAATCCCAGTTATATGTTGACCTCACCGCCTGTAAACTTCTCGGGATGTTGTTATTGAAAGGCACAAAGCTTATGACCGTGGACCACAGACATTGAAGACATTACCTCCCAATTCGACACTCAACACAAACCCCCCCGACTTTTGGATTCTTGGCACCTTCAAAAGCATATACGGTGGCGGGGGATAAAAGGACAGAGCCAAAAGGGCTGGAATATCATCCTTCTAGCATTGTCGGCGGTTGATGGCGAGCGTGGATATCTTGCATGATGACAGCTACATTGAGTATGTCTGCTCAGGGACATCTGGTCCGGATGATCGGGAATTCCCCAATTCAGGAGAACGATCACCTAGTTGACTGAATACTGACGATGCATGTAGACGGGGTGTTCAATTCGTCTCCTGACACACCCTCTACTATATATCCTGATCGTCTGATCCGTCCTCTACCTAGACGGACCCTCCGTTCACGCCTTTCTTCCGATGCTGCCGACACCCTATTCTATCCTCCTACGCCGCCGGCGTCCCAGATATTCTATGGCGTCTCTGCGGATTCAGAAGAAGCGGTGAACGAATCCAAAGTTTATGTGCAGCAGACCGTGGAGACCGAATTGTCACTAGAGGTTGACAGCCATGAATTTGAGACGTCAATAGAGTTGGAGAGCGGTGATGAAGGCGGTCCGATGGTTGTTCGGAGGAGTGGTGTTATCCGGAGGTCTTCGCTCTCACCTCCCGTGTCTGGAAATCCACACAGCTTCCCTCACGACACCCCGCACACAAAATCTTCAACCGGGGACGGTTACGACGCGTTTGAGAATACCAACAACAAGAAAAAGAGAAAGATACCTACGCCCGGAAACTTGGGAGGACACCATTCAGCTCTGTCTCCGGAGTTCGCCAGTATGGGGTTGGCTAGCTCAACCCCCGTACGGGTCCCCACCCCGACTGACGCTACTGGCACATATTATGGGAGTGGGAACCCTGCGTCACCTTTGGGGAGTGGCATATCTGGTTCAGGAAGAGGTCGATTGGGACGTCCTACTGTTCGTAGCAGCAGCAGGAATCCGTTATCGCCCAATGCCCAGCATGGATGGTTGAATGCCCGAACGCCCAATCGGCGGGACGCGTTGATATCATCCCCTGGCCCTTCTGGTATGCATTTTCCTCCTTCCTTCCCCCACCACACTGTTTGTTCTAACTTGTGTACCAGGTGAATCTACTTCGGACCAGGGAATTATCTCAACCGCGATCGCCAACGCCGCCACACACTCCTCCCCACCTCGAGGTCCCAGCAATGTCAGCCTATTGGAGAAAGAAAAAGAGAAAGAGAAAGAAAATACCACTCCAACGAAGACACAATTCACTTTTACATGTGAGTCCGACTCGTCTAAGGGCATGGCAATGCAGCGAAATTATTCGATCCCTTATCGATCTCCCACTTCACCACTCGGTCCGGCAAATCAAAAGCAGAGGGGTTTCTCTACACAAGCGACACAAACTAGCCCCGTCAACAGCAACCAGGCCCCACCTGGTACACAAGCACCCGCCCAGGGCGGGGAGCCAACTTCCGTGGGACCCAAGAAGAAACGTTCTCCAAGCAGCACATATGCACTATCTGCACGTCAACGCAAGGTCCAGCAACAGTACACTAACTTTCACCATCCCCCGAGTCTCGAAGACATCTGGATTTGTGAATTCTGTGAATATGAGAGCATCTTTGGTCATCCACCCGAAGCCCTAATCCGGCAGTATGAGATGAAAGACCGCAAAGAGCGCAAACGACTGGCGGAGAAGAAGCGACTTTTGGAGAAGGCCAAGATGAAGGGTCGTAAGACCAAGAAGGCGACCAAGAGCGCATCCAAGAATGGCTCCCAGCACCTTTACCAGCAGGGATACGACCGCGCCTCGGTGGACCACTCCTCTGCTGGCGGGTCAGGCCTTCACGATGATGAGTACCAAGGACATGAATATGATGATGATGAAAATTTGCCGATCCCACCTTCCGCCTCTGTGTCCCCCTCCGACCTCAGGCCTCCACTACCCGCTGGAAATCATCCGAAGATCGCTGCGTCTGTTCAAGGTATTAAGGGTGCTGCGGATTCCGGAGCAAGTCGACCGGCATAGTTGACCTATCGCATCCCCATGGCTGTTCTTTGGCGTTTCATCATTGCATTTGTTCTTTTTTTTTCTTGTTCTTTTTTTTCGGGGGTTGACATGGTGTTTGGGTATTTTCTGAGGGGTGTTCTTGGATTTTTGCATGCAAGGAAATCCCCTCTCAAGCATGCTGGTATGGCGAGCAACTCATCGGACTTCGTTGAAGTTCCTGGTTATTCTTTGTAATTGTAATGTCCATGATATGTATGTTCTGAATCAGATATGAAATGATCCAATGTCCATTCCTGTAGCGTGTATTCTTTTCTTAGAGACACTTCTATACTTCCAAGGTTGCATACATTTGTTGCATACATTTATCCCAAAAATAGAGCAGGGGAATTTGATTGGAATTTGATTGGACCTCAAGCAACCCGCACTTTGAAACCATCTCAAATCCCGAGTTGGCGCGCGCGAACTGAAGCTACCCCACCATACCAGGGATCATGAGTTCTGCAAGCCCTAGCCTGCTAGCTTGGTGTTAGCGTTTGATGCCAGGGGGTGTTCGGCATTCTATTTTGATCGACACGTTTCATCTTGTCGTCCCCGAGTCATTGTCTTTGGATGAAAGATGACGATACCCTGCGGAGAAACCCTACAACCGCGCGCTCAAAGGAGATTCGTTTCATCTTGGGCTGCAGATATTAGAAAATAGTAACATTAGGCTTTGTTGTCTTCAGGTTCTGACGAATGCCCCCGGGGGACAAGCATAGGGCTGGTATATAAAGAATAGCCCTGGCTGTGCCATTGATGAAATTCAGACTCGTCGTTCATTCTATTATCATTCTTCTTTCTTTTGTTCTCTTTTTTCTCTATTACACACTTTGAATACGACAAACAACTTTCTCTTTGTCTTCATATCCAGCTATACAATCTCGACAATCGCTTCGTTCCTCTTATTTGGCATCTGGTCTGCCGAATCTTGAAACACTCGTCTTATTCTCTTCGAGTTCACATTCCTCTACTTCTTGATATAATCTCTGCGCTGCGCGCCATCTCCTTGAAGGAATTACCTACATAGCTTCACTTCCATCCGCACCTTCCAACCACCTACCAACCATCACCACATCACCACAAACCAAATGTCTTTCCTCGCCGTCCCCCTCCTCAAACTCGGCTACAACCAAGCCAAAAAACACAAAGCCAAGAAAGACCTCCAAAAATACCAAAACGCGGGCGTCTACCCCCAAACTACCAACCAGAGCAATACCCAATGAGCGGCTACCCAGCGGGCGCGACGCCCGGCACAACAATGCACTTCGAGCCGCCCCCGCCAGAACAAAGCAAAAGTGACAAGCTAACCTTCATGTTCTTCACCGGTCTCCGCTTCCTCCAATTCATCTTCGGTCTAACCGTCATCGGCCTGTACGGCAGAGACGTCCACCACGACCACTCAGAGAACCACACCTGGCACTCGAAATGGGTGTACGCGCTCGTCACGGGCTTCTTCGCAACCGGAACCGCAGCAGTCCATCTCATCCTGCCGTTCATCATGCGTAAAGCTAAACTCGGCGCTGGACTTGGACCTGCACTGCTGCTGCCGCAGTTTGCGTGGGAGTTTGTTGTTACCGTGCTGTGGTTGACGCTGTTTGGCATCTTTGGGAAGATGTATATTGGAGTTCATCCCTCGGAGAGCTCGAGCTCGAGTTCGAGTTCGAAAACTGATACTACGACTTCTGCGCTTGGTGATGCGTCGAAGATTAATCGGATGCGGCATGCTGTTTGGATTGATATTATTAATTTGGTGTTCTGGGTTATGACTGCTTCTTGGGTTTTGGTGCGCTGGTTGAAGAGTCGCAGGTCGACTGCTTCTGGGGGTGCGATTGATGCTGAGAAGGGTGAACAGATTTAGATTTTGGGGGGGAATGCTCGCTTTGATAGTGGGCTTGTTCGGTGGAATCTGTTATGGATAGATGCCTTGATGGTATCGTATGGAAAATTGCCGGGGGGGGGGTGAACATCATTTGCATTTGGCTTTTCCTTTTTGTATTTGGCACTTAGGCTGGGGAGTCATGGTGTATCGTGCTTTTTGCCTCTTTTCATGGACGGAGTTTTTCCAGTACAAGGAATATCATTTTTGAGACACAGCTCGGTGGCTTTGGTTTAAATGTAATCTCGTCCGTAGAGGTTACTGTGCATACATTGAAACATAATACATAGAATAAGCTCTAAGCAGGCACTTGGATATCATGCATATTAATGTTTCTTGTATTCAATCCTCAGGCTATCAATTTCGATACAATGAGCGAATGTAACCTCTTTGTCTTCCATAGTGACCCGCATCGACTATGATGCTATCCTCTTCAAGCATCAGGCAGCATATCTGGAATCGTTAGAATGCTCTGAGACATGGTAATGTACAGTATGTTAAGAGCCGGCAAATCAGTGCGGAATCTGATATGCCTTGCCCAGAGTAATTGTGGTCCTCCAGTTCAAGGCTTTATCTCTCAGTGATCAGGATCATAGCTTCACCCCCTTCATGGCAGATGTCAGCAACGAAGCCTCCTTGACAACGGGGACAATAGTAGGCTGCACAGCCGGGAGGGTTGGGTCAACAGTCTCATGGTGTGAGACCAAGTTCTTGAAGGGCTGCAGGACAGGGAGTGTCGAATCGAGAGCATCGATATCCGTCCAGTCTCCCTCAACATCATCAGGTGAGGCAAGCTGCGGCCCACCAGGCATATCGGGATGGCTCTCCTTAACATCGAATGATGGTGTGATCTTGCAGCAGTCCCCAGGGCTCAGCATCGGGTGCCGAAGGGAGGAAGCTCTCGGAAAAGGAACCGGAGATGTCTTTTGCGCTGCTTTCGCAACCTCGATAGCGGAAGGCTCATCGAGAAACTCATCGTCGAATAGTGGAACAGACGGTTTGGCGGGCTTAGGCTCAGGCGCAATCTCACGGCCCAGATCGCGCGCAATCTGGTCTTCCTCGTCGCGGAGGCTGAGGTGCTGCAAAAGACCCAGCTCTACATAGCTGTCTTCGTAGAAAGTGTCGGCCCCATCGGCCTTGGTAGTGGGCTCAGAGCGCCGGCGGATGGGAAGTGCGGCTTTCGGAATGGAAGTCTGCGAGGACTTGCGGCGGTTGAAGACTGGGCGGCGGCGTGGGCCTCGTCCAGTGCGTGTCGCAGTAAGATATGTCTTTTTGGAGCCTTGCTGGCCCGAGTTCTCTGGAATAATAGTGGAATCACCAGCTATGGATGTCTTCTTGGAACCCTGGTTGCCAAGCTTCTCTGGCATCAGAGTAGACCCGGCATCCATCTTCTTCTTGCGACGCTGAAGGCCCACGCTGCTTGAATTGGGGGCGGGTTCATCAGCCATGCTCGCAGTTGGAGAGTTGGAGGGGTCGAGTGTTATTTTTGTGCCGAGGGGAGTATCAAGGAGCAACCGAGTTGCTTTATGTGTTTCAACCTGTGGAGGCTGCGGCTTTTTCAATATTGGGTGAGGAGTACAGGCTCCGGCAACGCAGCCTGACTGATTCTCATTGATGGGCTTGCATGAATCGTCAATATGGGGTTGACATGGTGCGATGTGGAACAAACTTGTGTTTACCTCCTCTTCTTTGTCGCCCGGCTCAGGCAACCGTGGGACGGTCACCATTTGTCCGACTAATACTGCCGGTGTCTTGATGCGCATGATAAGATGATCTAGGGTATGGGCATTTATGCTGCTCGAGAGTCGTTTGGAACCCCATATCCTCCAGAAGAGATGTTCTAGGCGATGTTCGGTCTCATTTTTGCTGGCTAGGTAGGAGGTCGAGTAGGCTGTTTGTTGCCAGTCAGCCCGTCAGCCTGTCCTCAACGAGACCAAGAGTAGGGAGTGTTATGTTACCTTGCCAAAGGTTCTTGTAAACACCATTACTTAATGTATCCTGCTCCAAGATCTCGCTGGGTGACACACTTGACATAGCCACCAGACCTTGGGGGAGCTTTGGCTCCATCTTGGATGTCCGTTTTGGTACTCTTGAGACGAAACCGGGGTGCTGAGAGAAGTAGGAGATGAGTGACGTGAGAATGGCAAGACCAAGGAGGGGTCAGCTCAAGTGATACTGTTGAATGGCGCGTGGACCAGTCGTGCTGATGTAAAGTCAAGGCTCGATTTCATCCTTGTATTCAGCACAAACAGAATGCTGAGAAGGAAAAGAGAAGAAGAAGAAAAAAAAGGAGCTCAACGGGTGAGCTTCGCAGAGTGAAGTGCTCTCGTGTTATTTTTTTGGGGTACCTCGCTACTTTGTAGTGGCGAGTTGAGGCTTTGAAGTTCCAAGATATTCAATATTGAACTTGAAGTTGATGTACCGGATTAGTTAGAGCGCTTGAAGATGCTCAACTAGTTTTTAGGTATGAAGATCATGACTGTAAAAGCTTTATGCACTCCGCACTCCACAAAGGAATCAAAAAGAAGAGAAAAGTCGGGAAGTTTAGAGACAAAGAATTTGAGGAATGTAGTACCCCAGGGTTCGCCCTTGCCTGTAGCGGTCAAGGTGGGGGGAACACCCCCTTAGATTCAAAACCGGACCGAATAGATCTTCCTTAAATCTCCCCTCTACCTTGATCTCCCTTAATCCTCCTAAATCTACTTTCTGGAACTTCGCCTTCTCGGGATTACCGGGACGGGCCGGGATTGGGCTTCACCGTTTCTATGGAAGCGCCCAGGTGAAGTCTATATTTACCACTCCGTATACAAGAGCAAGAAGGGACTACTACTGAACCACTATAAAGAAGATGAAAACACTGCAATTGAGACTAAAACATAAAAGGATAGGTCGAAAAAGACCCTTCTCATTGTTACATTCCAAATTGCGCGTCCTTTTGCAAGCAGGGATGTAGCAGAGACAGCCCTATCGGCGGCCGACTTGCCAGATGTGATACAGCACCACCCCCAATACCACCTGAAGAAAAACCCTTCAGAGCAAATTAAGGAGCTTTGCCGAGGTGACATTCACAGCCACATGCCCCTTGATTCGGTACATCCAATAAGGGAGCGTCTCCCAAGTATGCGGTATGCGGAGAAAACCCGGGGAAGCTTGTGATTGGGTCTGGTGTAGTTTCCCCATATTGCTCCACTGCAAATCCACTGCAAACGATCTAGAAGATCCAGGTGGAAAAAGTGTGAGGTCGGAAATATTCAATTCCCGAGTCGACTCTTGCAGATATCAAGCTGATACTAGGCCGTGGCCCGACTTCTCGGAAAGATTGACTATCAGAGACAACACTTCTTCAAATCTGTCACATGCTACTTCATGTGTCTCGACAAGTAGACACGAGAAAGTAGATATAGAAGAAGTGCTGGATGTCAAGACAAGAGCAAGGTCTTGGATAACAGATAGACTACCAAAAGCGGGAGACCATTGCTCTAGCCTAGATGTACATTCATTTGGCAATCATCACCAAATAAGCCATTTTCCGCATCAATTTTACAAGTCCCTCACAGTTCCAGTAGCTATCGCTTCTATTCATACACCTATGTACACTATCTACTCACGAAGCCGAAGAGCAACAACCTGTCCACCATAAGAAACACCCCCTCATCACCTCCACGAGTAGTAACATAAGCCAATTTTCCACCCGACACAATCTGCACAGAAGTAGGACCAATAAAAGCCAAGCTATCACCCCCACCACCAATAACACTCTGCGTTCCATCCGGCGAAATCTTAACAATGGAATAGGGCGGCTGCGCAACATAAGCATTCCCACTATCATCAATAGCAAAATCATCCCAATCGGACTCAGTATCACCAGCCTCGCGCTCCAGACGCGCAATAACCTGAATCTGGCCGAAGGTCTCTCCATCCTCGCTAACAGACGCCCGAGCAAAGATATTAAGCGCACTATTGGTGAAGTAGACATTACTTCCAACAATCTGAAGTCCATTGATACCAATAGGCATAGACGAGTTTGCAGGCGCGGCGAGGGCATTGTTCTTCAACACGACCTTCGAGATACCGGTGGTTATATCGACGCGGAAGATAGATCCCAGCCGCGCGTCTGCAATCAAAAGGATATGCGGCTGCGACGGCATTGAAGCCATGCCATTTAGCATGTCGGCGTCGGGGATGTGGGCGACGGTTTGGATGGTGGGGTTTGTGGCATTCTTGCTGAAGTCGACGGTGTAGATGGTTTCGTTGTCGTAGTGGTATGAGCCCCGTACCCCGCCTACGACGGCAAACTTGTCATGGCCAACGGATGCAATGCCGGTTAGAGCTGTGGCGCCGGGAAGAGTGGCAACTAGCTCGGCTTTTGGATTGCGGGATTGCGGGTTGAGGGTGTAGAGATGGGCTTTGTAGAAGGTTGTGAGGAGGATATTGCCGTTTGGACGGAGCTCGCTGTTCTCGATGTTGATTGAGCCAGTGAAGTTGAATAATTGGGTTGTTAAATGAGCGGATGCGGCGCTGGCTAGCATGGCCAGGCTCAAAGAGGGATTGAAGCGCATGGTGATTTGGGGAATATAGTGGGAGGAATGGGACTTCAACTGACAAACAAGCTATCGTGTTTTATTTACACTGCTTGTAGAGGGACTTTCTTCAGTCTTTGGGGGCTAAGGGGGTTCGGCACGGAGTATGGAAGTGGTACGAGTCGGAGATAAAAGAGATCGACATAAGAGCGAAGTAGCCAAGACGGCAAATGGACAATTTGAGGCTTCAACGGGAAATTAGCACCGAGCTATGGGAAAAACGTGTTTCATATTAATGAGATGAGCATATTTGATGGGATAACAAAGTACGCTGTGCTTTTAAAAAGCTCTTCCAAGTGGCTTTCTAACATGGCTTTATATACAAGATTCGTCACTGTACAATTGTGCGAGGTTGCTTCGTCTCACGCTGACTATCCCCAGCCTCGCAGGTCCTCTTGCGCCGCTTGGTCAAAAGATCAACAGCGAGCCTTTGCAGTGGTCGCATCAACCATTCGGACCGCCAATTTGAATATAATGGGTACATAGGCCGTTCAACGGTCCCAAATGCAAAGTCAAGCTGGGGGATTGCTTCGAACCACAGAGGACGTCTGAGAGGCTTGTTCGGGGAGTTTAACGGCAAATGACTTGCCGCATCGATTTCGATAATAATAGGGAGCTCTTGTTTGTCAAAAATCCTTCGTCGGACAAGATATGATCGCTTCAGACTGGACGCAGTATGGAGAGCCTGGGGATCGATGCATCTGGATGGTAACTTGCGGCGTGTTTGGGGACAAAGCTCCAACTTCCGTAACCGACCGGATTTCTGTGTTGATGAAATTCTATCCCATATTGCGAGGCATAGGGCCGGATCCAGTATTAGGCTGAATGCTATTTCAGCGACCGCAGGCATCCCAAATATTTTGGGATCATTTGATTGCTGGTAGGAAATAGTACATTCCATATCCAGGGCGAGGAATTCCAGTGAAGGAAACTGACCGTACGCTTCATAAAGTCGTATTTCATCTTCGCCTCCGGCTGTGCGCTGGGTTTCAATGCGCAACTTTCTTAGACGAGGACAGAGTTTAGCGTATCGCAACACCTGCGTAGAGCAACCTCCTTTCGGCGGCCAAGCTGATAAGCGAGCATATGGTCCCGGAAGAAGCACCAGGCCTTGCAATGTCGGGCCGTGATGCGTGAGGATCTTCTCAATGATGCTGGGGCCCAGGTGGCTTTTGATATTCACATAAGACAAGGGATTGATCGATGTAAACATCAGCTCCGCTACTTCTTCACTCAATGAGTTGTCAATGGTAACAGATAGGTTCTGCAGGTTGCGGAAAGAATATGTCGAGGCAAGTGCTCTTGGGATATCATCATCAATCACGGAATCTAAATCGAGCGACTGTAATTCAGAAAAGTCCGTATGTCGACTCGCTTCGTGAAGTATCTTCCTTTTTTCCCGCTCGAATCGTAATGATAGTGACTTTATTTTGCCCATCTTGAAAGCCGCCACCGACGAATCAAGCCCCTTTCCTTTGGGAGTGGCTTTGGAAAGAGGATAGTGCGACTGACTAATATCAACATAGAAATGTTTGAGATTAGGTGCGATAGACATAATCCTGTAGATTGTTTCAGTGTAAGTATCCGGTCTGGTATCATTACTCTTAGTCCAGGGACTGAAACGAATTCCGTGGAGACACGGGGACTGGATGAGATCCATCTCGCTGGCATCCAACGACATAAGATTTGTAAGGCAGAAAGCGTGGATGTTGAGCTTGCATGTTGGGTGGTATTGATGCAGGGCTTCCAGTAAGGCCCGTGGAAACGTATTGGCAATCGCGTAGTTGAGTTCCACTAGATGCCGTATCTTTCCAAGCAGTGAGACTAGTAGTTCCCACTTTGGAGTAGCGAAGAAATGACCCTCCGCCAGCCTTTCTGTCACTGGGTTGAAATGGGGATCGTCTTCTGGAAAAGGAATGTCACCCATCGCCATCTCGTAGTTGGAGCTCAGCTGCAACCCTGTTTGACCAAATTTCTTTATTTTGCTTTCAGTGATAATACGGCTTGAATCATGCAGTGTGGGGGAACCCACAATAACCTTGGAATACATAGCTCCCCACAAAAAGAGCTATGTCACGATGGCTGGGCTAGACCCCTTAGTGCTACCCAGACAAAGGAAATCTGAAACATCTGCTCCATGTCTGGCTAATTAGCTATCCCAGCACCTCCTTGCGGAATGCAAAAGTCGAACGTATTAATAGACCTAATCTGACTCACCTGCATTCCGGGATGCGGATAACCTGGAACTGGGAATCCCGGGCGGAACAGCTTCCGATCTCTCCATCACTACGGAGTACTTGCTTAGTGGAAAATCTTTGGATCGCTGGTTTTACTAGCATGGACATCCAAAGAAAACTCCTTCGCTATACTATCCCTAGTATCGTCTGAAGTCAAATAGATCGGATAATTGGAATCCCTATGGAACAAATGATAGAGGACGTGTAAGCGGCTGACTATTCTTGTATTTGATATTTTAAAAGTGCCTACTCGGATTTCAGAACCTTAGAAGGTACTAGTGGACCTAGGTATGGCTCGGGACCTTGGTAGTTTCCAAGGTTGTGTTTGTACAGATCCATGGATGCGATCTTTAAGCCGCAAACCCTAAAATTATTTGGGCCCAAAGCGTTGCCTCAAGGAAGGCTCCAACCAGGTACTGTGCTTGCCGAGGTTGACCAACTGGAGACTTCAAGGAGTCGTTCATCCACCGTGCCAGCTCTCCAGCGTCTAAGATTCACCAAATTACCCTTATATCCTGTAGCCCTGTGCCTCCATGACCATAACCGGAAAACAAGTCCACTACTACGTACTTTTGAATGAGGCTCTTGGTACTGTTGGTGCCTTATACTTTGGGTGTCAGTATGGGGGCCAAAGAGTCCCCCCTAAATTGCATTTATTTCTCTCCTAACCCATCTTTCCAGATGCTTCCCCCACCTCTACATGACGATATCTTCTTCTCCTTAGGTATAAATCTCGCCAAAGAATCGCTTTCGTTCCTTCTGGGCCACATCCCACCCAGCTGGGCTTGTAACGTACTCACCCCGCGTCCGCGCAAGTCAGATAGCCCGGCTGGGCCAATCAGATATACATCAGTCGATCATGAATAAGCTTCCGCCGGAAATTCTGACTCTGATTTTTGCGGAAGTTTGTGTCCCCAGTTACTCTACTCCCGGCTCTACTAACAATCCTTGTAGATTTGGGATTTGTATCCCGAAAGTCTACGAGGCTTGAATACAGTCAATAGAGTGTTCTACGATACGGCTGCGCGCTTTCTGTGTAAAACCCTCACTATTCGATTTTACAGCAATCAGGAGTATGAGCAAGCCGTTACGAATGTGTTGACTCGCCCAACAAATGCCAACTGGTACAAGCATGCCCGGCGGCTTGACATTATCTCAATGGACTTTTAAACCAAGTCACTTTTAGAAAGAGACACGAATTGGTGGAGTATTTCTCGGGAATTTGAGGCTCCAAAAATGCAAAACCCAAGAGGGGCGACCAAATTATCCCGCAATTCATGCCGTAAAATATGACCAGTCTATATCGGATTTGCATCTGCAAAAGAAAGGCTAGTACCATGCAACAGGGAAATCACGAAGGGATATTAAATAGCGCGCAGGTAGCGTGGTTAGGTCACCGTGTAGCCACCATCAACGCGGAGATCCGCGCCAGTGATATACTTGGAGGCATCGCTAAGCAGGAAGGTTACGGCACCCATCAAGTCCTCCGGTGTACCCATCTTGCCAGCGGGAATGAGAGAGATCCATTGGTCGCGAAGCTGGGGATTCTCATCAAGGATCTTGCGGGTTCTGAATGACAAAAACATCATTAGCACCAATTCCTTTCCAGAGATTTCTTTACTCAAATGTATCTCTTCGTCCATGTAGGGGGTACTTACAGAGCAGTAAGCATATAACCAGGGCTAATGCAGTTAACACGGATATCATGACCAGCCCACTCCACAGCGAGCGAAGCAGCAAGGTGACGCACAGCAGCCTTTGCGGCGTTATACGGAGCCTGGGGCTGGGGAACATTAACAATGGCGCCGGACATGGAGCCGATCATGACGATGCTACCGGGTGCCTTGCGCTCGATCAGGTGCTTCGCAACATTGATGGCGAAGAGATATGTGCCATCGACATTGACGCCCCACAATTTCTGAATACGATCAAAGGGGTAGTTGATAGCCTCGAAGTTCTCGGTGAAGCCAGCCGAGGTGACCAGGTTATCGATCTGACCGTGCTTGGCCAGGACTTCGGCCATGGCGTTGCTCACAGAGTCGGGATTGGCGACGTCCGCGTAATGGGCTGTTACATTAGGCATTCTGTTTGGAATTAACCAGTGCGGCGAGATGGGAAGGTATGACAATGGAGACTTACTCTTCCAGACCGGGATTCTCCTTGCGGAACTGCTCGATCAACGAAGCAGCCGCAGACTCGGCTTCGTCCTCTAGGATAGATGTTAGATAAATTGTTTGTTTCGGTTATTAGTGGTGATTGTAAAAGCATACTGTTAAGATCGATGATAGCCAAATCTGAGCCGGAAGCGACAAGACCTTGACCCATGACCAGTCCCAAGCCACGAGCACCACCAGTCACCACACTGACTTTGTTCTCGAGGGAGAATTGGGCTAGAGTACGCTTGAAATGCATGCCGCCGCGTCCCTGGGCCACAGGCTGGGTGGGCATCTCGCTGTCGGGAGGGTACTCAATGTGTACGCTTTCATCGGTACGCGCGAATTGGCCCTCCTTCTCACCAGAAGCACCCTCGGGAGCCTTGGTTGTAGCAGAGAGGATGGGATCCTTTGTGGAGCCATCGCTCTTCTTCTTTCCGAGTGGGGCGGTATATGAGAAAGAGCGAGTGAAACCCGTAGCTGGGTGAGCGGCTGCAAAGGCAGGGCGGGCGGTGTTTAGGGCCTTGATGGCATTTCGTGTGACTGTAGACTTGAACATTTTGAAGGTCACAGATTCGAAACGCACTGCAGCCGTGGGGGTATAACGTTGAGAGAGATGCGATATATGATCTATGTACGGAGAGTAAAATTTGGAGAGAATTTATATTGGGGAGAGGGAAGGGTCTATCCAGGGGAAGCTGGGGAAGCTGAGTGTCTCAAAGAAAGCAGGTCATCGGACCTCACCTTTTTTTTTTTAAGGGCTCGGGAATGCAACAATTGCGGTGAAAACAAGCCAATTGACAGCGGACGTGGGGCTATTGAACGGAGGCAGTTTAATTTATCTTCTTTGGTCTTAAAGGAGGTTTTTTTTATTCGTTGATTTAAATCATAGCTTGAAAATATAGAGAGGCGAGACCGTAATGTCAGGTCGGCGGGTACCAGTTTCGCGGTATCATATTATGCATGGAGCACTAGTTGATGATTTCAAGTTCTCACAACACTTTATATACCTATCTGAGACTATTCTTTCTCATTCGAAGCTCCTAATATTTAAAGCTTGATCTTAACATTGAAAGAACTACACATATCTTTCACTTTTTTTTTGCTATTTTCGAATGGATCAGTCACTCCCTGCACTTCGGGGACAACCCGCATTTGCCACAGGCCAATGGAAAGCTCGGATTGACCTTCTTGTGTCATTTTTGTGTCATGCAGTTTGGATTTTGCATTTTGCCACCGAGTAATATTTTATAGAATTACCCGGTGAATAAATAGAGCTCATATAATTTAGGGTACAGGGGACAACAGTCAAGATTTGACTATTGTCGAATATTTGAAGTAAATAAAAGTGGCCGGGGTAAATAGTGGACCATCCGGGCTTATGTGGGGATTGACCCCGTTTGCCCCGGTTTTGTAACATCTCCACCGGGCCACCTCCCGAGGTCTTAAGCATGCAGTCAGATGACCATCATGATTCTCAACTTATTTGCTATTAAGGTGCCCTTGTCAGTAATTTTACTTCACACGATCAGTATACATATGGTGAGAGTCGAAAACACACTTTTCCTCGGTTCCTACCCGAAATCACGCTAAGCCGTATTTACATAAACTTGGAATCGCCCATCTTCCAAAAAGGGATTGGTCAAATATTATGCTTTCTCCTGTTTCTTACGGCTCAACACATGTCACTGTGTTCGAGAGCTTCATCAAGCAGCTTCTTCGGCAGAGAGATCCAGCCGAAATCTGTCCTGGCCATGAATAAACGCATAGGCATTACGTTGATACGGTGGTAAGGGAGCGGGGCAGCTCCTGTATGATGGATTTGTGATACAGCTACATTCCCAATCGGCTTCCATGCTTTCCAAAAGGAAATTGTCTCTAGAACCCTAGACCAAGACACGCTAGGCCAAATACAGATAGTATGGATGCAGGGGCAATTACGTCATACTAACAGAGTTCGGTTATTTCAAAACATCAATACAGCCAAAGAACATGACTTGTAGTTATAGGAACCAATGGATTGTCAAATACGTGGTTACTAGGTAGATACCCAGTGAATCATCACCAAAATGAAATTATCCAAATACAGTATAGCGAGGTGAACTCAACATGAGACAAAACATATTAAGGATAACTGGATCATGCCTTGGTAGCAAGATGCGTAGTTTCCCATTCAAGCAGAGTGTTGTCATTGAAGATAGTGTCAGGATGAGTGGGGCCTAGAACTCGTCGCTGCTTGACCACGCAGGTTCGAAGCAAGTTGATTGCTTTCGTATGCTGACCGGTAGATTCCCAGGTGAAAGCTAGATTGGCCATGCTAGTCAGCGTGGAGGGATGGTCCACGCCGAGCTTCGTCTTGCTCGTCTCCATGACCTGCACCTCGAGCTGCTCCGCCTCTTCCCACCGGCCCTGGTTCCAATACGTCGACGCCAGGTTGGCTATGCTACTCAGCGTGTCGGGATGGTCCACGCCGAGCTTCGTCTTGCGAGTCTCCATGACCTGCACCTGGAGTTGCTCCGCCTCTTCCCACCGGCCCTGGTTCCAATACGTCAACGCCAGGTTGGCCATACTAGTCAGCGTGTCGGGATGGCCCACGCCGAGCTTCGTCTTGCGAGTCTCCATGACCTGCACCTCGAGCTGCTCCGCCTCTTCCCATCGGCCCTGGTTCCAATACGTCGACGCCAGGTTGGCTATGCTACTCAGCGTGTCGGGATGGTCTACGCCGAGCTTCGTCTTGCTCGTCTCCATGACCTGTACCTGGAGTTGCTCCGCCTCTTCCCACCGGCCCTGGTTCCAATACGTCGACGCCAGGTTGGCCATGCTACTCAGCGTGTCGGGATGGTCCACGCCGAGCTTCGTCTTGCGAGTCTCCATGACCTACACCTGGTGCTGCTCCGCCTCTTTCCATCGGCCCTGGTTCTAATACGTCGACGCCAGGTTGGCCATGCTACTCAGCGTGTCGGGATGGTCCACGCCGAGCTTCGTCTTGCGAGTCTCCATAACCTGTATCTCGAGCTGCTCCGCCTCTTCCCACCGGCCCTGGTTCGAATACGTCGACGCCAGGTTGGCCATGCTAGTCAGCGTGGAGGGATGGTCTACGCCGAGCTTCGTCTTGCTCGTCTCCATGACCTGCACCTGGAGCTGCTCTGCCTCTTCCCACCGGCCCTGGTTCGAATACGTCGACGCCAGGTTGGCCATGCTACTCAGCGTATCGGGATGGTCCACGCCGAGCTTCGTCTTGCGAGTCTCCATGACCTGCACCTGGAGTTGCTCCGCCTCTTCCCACCGGCCCTGGTTCCAATACGTCGACGCCAGGTTGGCCATGCTACTCAGCGTGGAGGGATGGTCCACGCCGAGCTTCGTCTTGCGAGTCTCTATGACCTGCACCTGGAGCTGCTCCGCCTCTTTCCATCGGCCCTGGTTCCAATACGTCGACGCCAGGTTGGCTATGCTACTCAGCGTGTCGGGATGGTCCACGCCGAGCTTCGTCTTGCTCGTCTCCATGACCTGCACCTGGAGCTGCTCTGCCTCTTCCCACCGGCCCTGGTTCGAATACGTCGACGCCAGGTTGGCCATGCTACTCAGCGTGTCGGGATGGTCCACGCCGAGCTTCGTCTTGCGAGTCTCCATGACCTGCACCTGGAGCTGCTCCGCCTCTTCCCATCGCCCCTCTATTCGATAAGCTTCTGCTAAAATTGTAGTGCTATTAAGGGTGTCTTTATCCTCGGCGCCACCAATCTTCATTCTTTGTTTCCTTGACATAGCTGCGAAATCCTCTGCAACCGAAATACTACCACATTTTATCGCATACCAAGCCCCCCCTGTAGAGTAGCGCAGCCCAACTTCGGAGTGAGTCTTGCGATTCCGGCCGATGTAAAACGGCCGACCTAACATGTGGAAACAGGGACCGGCATCTCTCCCAAGTTTCATATTCGCCTGTCGGGAATTCAGTATTTAGATTGCTGATAAATCGTTCCTTCCATTCCCCGTCTTGGCCATGGGTTTTCAACCACGTCCATAAAGTAAGCTGCACTAGCCGATGCATCGTAAACATCATACTATCTTCACAGGTAGCAATGAAGGAATAGTCTCTGAGAGTCGCAATGTCGTTCTCAAAACCATCTTCTAGGTCGTCTTCAGACGAACTGTCTGTATCTTCTCCACTGGAGGTGTTCGCTATTTCCCCTAGAGAACCCGAACTTCTATTAGTTTTCCCCTTACCCTGCACCCGTAGAAGATCCTCCGGAATACCCTGGCGGTCGAAAAAGCTCATAAGAGACAGTAAATCAGCCGCAGACTGCCTTGTTCGTCGGATATGGTCAAACGATATTTGCCAAGTCAATAAGATGGAGTTCTTTGCTTCCCAGTCTCGGTGCGTGTGATATCCCTCGTGATGAAGAAGCTTAATGGCTTGATGATCACTATGCCGAAGCTTCTCTAGGTATTGCGATACTGAGCAACGGGGTGAACGGTGGGTGATGTAGCTGGCCGCTTGTATAATCGCGAGTGGCATAAACTCAAGCTCTTCAACTAGCTGAACCAAGTCCGCTCTCTGTATACCAGAACCCAACTTCTTCTGTATTAGAACTAGCGCCTCGTCTATAGCCATTGGTTGCACATCGATTAGGTGTTTCATATAGCCGGCGATTTCTAATGCTACCCCTTTGTTCCGGCTCGTGATGATAATAGAGCCTTCCGAGCTTTCGAGAAGGTACTTGAGGGGTGGCTGCGTCGAGTTATGGTTCTGGGCATTTGCTTTATCATCCGTACTAGTTGCCAATGGTTTGCGAAGAAGCTCGTCATCATCCAAATTATCAAGCACAAGAATCCACTTTCCGATCTTTCCATCTTGCAACCAGTTCCCGAAGAGTTGGAATATATTAGCGTCACGGTCCCTGCGTCCGGGAATCTTAGTACGCTCGGCAATATTACGGAGACTTTCTTCGCTGCGGGCCGCATTACTTGCATGAACCCAGAAAACCCAGGTGTGAGGCGATTGCTGTCGGACTTGGTGGCAGTATTCGACGGCAAGCCGAGTTTTCCTATAGTACAGTTAGCCTTGAACACATTCCATTTACATCTGGGATGCCTTACCCCACGCCACCGAGACCAACGAGAACTATTCTAGACCCCGGGACCGACGATTGCTCGTGAATCCGATTAAGAAGGTCATCACGACCCACAAAGTCTGGGTCGTGTGGAACTGGTACAGTCGATAGAGGGTCAGGGCGAAATTCCAGTGGCTCTAGTAGAAGATAACGCTGTCAGTGGATCTAACATAGACCCATCACCATTGCTGTGGCAGACTTACCCGCGCCGAGATTTATCACCCCATTGTTGACGCCCACCTGAGGACCTGAATTTCTTTCACCAAAATTTATAGTATTCATAATCAACACACGATATACACAGCTGATGCCGGGTAGAACAAACATGAAATGTATTTTTTTTTATAAGATGCCCCTCCTCAGCCTCACTATCAGGTGACTTCACGGGCGCTAAGAGTTCTCGCCTTATTGGCCAAATACCCTCATAGGAGCAGTGTTCAGATTTTATATTTTTTTGAGCTGACAGGAACCAAAATTTCGTCGGTTGAATTAGTTGACTAAAATTAGAATCGCTCGCAGCTTACTAAGGTGGTGATGGAATGCAACCTGTATCCAGATCCTGGCGCTTGGGGAGGTAGTCTGTTGGTTTTTTTTTCTTCCTGAAATTAAAGTCGCATCGTCGATGAGTTCTCGATAGGATCCGATCAGAAGCCATTTTTGGCCCTAAATGGCCGTCTCTTGGTATAATTTTGGATTTATATGGGTTGCAACCGCTTAGGCTAGGTGGGGGTCGCCTCGATTCATTTGACAGCCCTAACATCTACGCCGAAGCCTTTGCTATGGTTGACGCTCGTCTTAAAAAGATTTCATCTCTCCAGGACATCTTTGTTGGGGTTTATGAGGAAGGACCAAGCTCAGACATTAGAAAGAAGATGAAAGAGCCATGGATGGATACTCAATGTGGTGGAGGAGCCAGTGGAAGAAGTGGAGTGGAACTCTCACACGTTGTGGGATGATATTGAAGACGACGAGTATCTTTGCCTTTGCGATTACGACGATGACTACGATATCGACAATAACAGTGATTTTTGGAGAAGGGCGGCGGATTAAAAGGTCTGAAGGTAGGCAGCCCTTTCCAGAAGTTGTTATAGCCCAAATCTATCAAATGATGGCTCAAACTGTCTAGCGCTCTAGGACGTTGTCTTTCGACACTCAGGAAAAAACGATCAAATTGAATGCACCGTGGAATAAAGCTATGATATTTGATAACTACAAGTGGGCAGATACATGTAATTTCAAACCAAGAAGAAAAAAAATGCAAACGTAGAGCCACTGCAAATGCCAATGCGATTTACTCTACATCAATGGTTATACCATGCTAGCCCCATCCCAATGCAGTCGTTCATCTAGCACTCTTGATCGTTGTCCAATGCAAGGCTGGCGTTATCAACGTGGCAGTCGATCCTAGCAGTTTCGCCTCCGGTAAGGAGGTAAATGTAGACTACGACATCGTCTATGGACGGGCAGGTAGTTACCCTATGTTGTAAATTTCAAAAGGCCCATGGACATTGTCGCGGTCTAGATGAATGACTGAACATATCTATTTACCTTAAGATATCAGGTGACGTGGATAGGAGATTTATATACAGTTAAGGTTATTTCCGGGCAATATCCCGGGTAGTGCAGTAGTTAAGAGCAAGCAACATTTGACAAACTTGCAAGGTTGCCATCTTAAAGATACACAGGGCTGGGTTCAATGCCTCTTGGAACCAAAGTTCGTGGTCGGATGGTCATCTGGGTCATGCACCACTGGGAATCCTCCTCTCCTTTTTTTGCCTTTGTTTTTCTTACTTTCCCCTCCCCTTTTTTTGTTCTGCTATATTAAAATAGAATATTGAAAGAAGAAATGCCAGGTATTGATATATACATAGGCTTTAGGCCATTATATGCAGAATGCAATATCTGTGAGATTTACGCGAAGAAGCAATCACTACCGATTGTGAGCGACCGTGATATATGGGAGAAACCTCTGCGTAGAGATACTATGTCGCCCGGGAGGTCAATGACAGGAAAATCTTGTAAACCCTATGTTGAGGCTATTCACACTTCCTGAATAGGCAATTCTCCCGACTTGGCAGATGTGTGAATGAATTGTTGACCGATCATTATGAATTTGCTAGGCTGTACAGGGTTTGGCACACGACCCCTATGTAGTGCCCTTACAGTATGAATCGATTAGACCGACACCCTGGTGCACCTGTTTACACTTCCTAGGCTATTCATATTGTTAGGCTATTGATGTTGTTCTTAGGCTATCTATGTTCCCGGGTATGGAATCCCGGATCGTGCTCCGGGTATACAAAAACATATAAAACTGCCAAGGACTCCGATCAACAGCCAGGGTTTTAAACACATATTTGCTACATCACCTAACAATTTACTCCACTGCCAATCGCGTGTACTTCCAACAACCAAAATGATGTCCAAAAGAATCGTCATCATTGGCGCTGGGTTTGCCGGCATCTGGAGTGCACTCTCCGCTAAACGGCTAGCGAACCTCACAAAGAATGAGAACACTATTGAGGTCTTGGTCATCGCCCCGGAACCATCCTTGGTTATTCGTCCACGACTATATGAGGCCAAAGCGTCCAGCATGACCCATGCTATTGGCACTCTTTTCCAAGCGGCAGGAGTAAAGTACGTCCAGGGATGTGCAAATACCATTCACACCGAGAAACACACCATCCAAGTCCAATCTGCTGACGGCACGGAATCAACCATTAACTACGACCGACTCATTTTGGCAGCTGGGAGTCGTCTGGTACAACCCGATGGAATCAAAGGGATCAAGCAGCATGCTTTTGACATCGATTCTCTAGCCTCTGCTACCAAGTTCGAGACCCACCTCGAGAACTTGTCTTCACTTCCAGCAACCCCCGCTCGTGATACCATCGTGGTGTGCGGTGCTGGGTTTACGGGAATCGAACTTGTAACCGAACTCCCCAAGCGCCTGGGACATGTCGCAAATCATCGGATTATTCTAGTTGGGAATGAAGACCAAGTTGGTCCTGCGCTGGGACCGGGCCCTCGTCCCGTTATCACGCAGGCTTTAAATGACCTCGGGATAGAACTTAAACTCGGTTCCGCAGTCACAGCAATCGATGCGGATGGAGTAACACTTGCATCTGGCGAGCACATCGAAACAAATACCTGCATCTGGACCGCTGGTGTGCGGGCTACGCCCCTAACACAGCAAATCCCAGGCGACAAAGATGGCCTGTCCCGTCTTCATGTCGACAAGTATCTCCGCGTTCCATCGGTTGAGCATGTTTATGCCACAGGCGATGCTGCTTGTGCTCTTGCCGATGACAAGGGCCACTACGCCTTGATGTCCTGCCAGCATGCAGTCTCACTTGGCCGTGTGTCGGGCCACAACGCTGCCGCTGATCTTCTCGGTGAGCTGATGACTGAGTATGTGCAGGCGACATACAACTGCTGCCTGGATCTCGGAGCTTGGGGAACTGTGATTTCCCAGGGTTGGAATCTAGAGGTCAAAATTACTGGGGATTTGGCGAAGAAGATTAAGTGCTATATCAATCAGAAGTTAATCTACCCCCCGATTGAGGCTAAGGAGGCGTTTGAATTGGCTAACCCGGTTGGACCTGATTCGGATCAGCTGTTTGAGCAGATTATGCAGGCTATCGCATAATCGTATGAGAACGTCGTACAATTCCCACGTTGTATCTACTTAATGATAGAAATTATATCGTTTAAAAAGAGAAATGGAATTTTTGTTTTTTTTATTTACTTCAATGCTGTTATTCATATTATAGTATACACGGTCAATACCTGCTGGGTTACCTGTCAAAGTGTGGCGGTGCGAGCTATGTTATAGTAATATAGCTACAGCTGCATATGGCCTAAGCTCGATTAGACTCTTCCACGTACTTTATATTGAGTAAATTATGTGACCACTGATATTTGGACGCTGCGATTTATGAGTGAATGTAATTCGAAGCAAAACGGATCACAAAGAAGGTTGTAGACTTAATCTTTATACTCTGTATACCTATATTTTAGAGAAGTGGTTGCCCTAGAGCTTATTCAATGTACGACCAAATTGCTTAAATAAACTATGGGCTAACCATAAGCTAGTTAGCTCTGTACGCTTCACTGTAGCTAAGTTGGCCTAACTGGTTAATAAATGCTGTCAGAGACCTGCGCAAACATACACTTTTATGTGGGGAACCTTGTAAAAGCTCTCAGCTAGGCAATCCTTTTAGCCCTGTATTTCAGCCACGCTGTATATTAATTTTGCATGCCCATTTTTAGAACGCCTAGTTTATTGAACGTTATCTCAACGACTTGGGTTTTCTATATTCAAATATTGAATATATTCTTTTAAACTGGAGCATCTGGTTAAATCTTTCCTTTATAGGTTTTATGAGGGTATTTGCGACTGGTCAAATTAAATGAACCAAAATTATTTGTTTCTTTCTGTTTCAATCTTATCTTCTGTGAATATCTCACGCCTCTTATGGTAGAATCTTTCCGGGCTCATGGTCTTCAAAGCGCGAGCGGAAATCAGGAGTATACTCTAGTGTTCTAGTGAAGCTAGATTTGAAAAGTATTGGTCGATAATCCAAGACTATCGAACTCTAGCTTTTCTAGAACAGTGATCCATTCTGCAGATATGCAATATGACGTATTTTCTGGGTAAGCTGCGCAGTCTGATATTTTGTAACTTTTGGCAACATAGTTTACGGTAATCTCTGAAATGATGATAATGTAGCCTCCTACTTCCCTTAAGATTGATATATTGGGTCAATAATTCATATCGATGACCATCAACAAGTAAGGAGATCAAATGAAAGGTCAAAGAAAGGTCAAAGAAAGGTCGGTTTTTGAGATATAAATGGAGGATATATCACATTTACTATGGTCTTATGGGGTGGCTGGCTGGTGTGATCAGCTCGCTTGAGAAATATGTTAGTTAACGTTATTGGGCGTAGTGAAATAGTTGTGCATTGAGCCCCCGATGGATCTAGCTGATCGACATGATCCGAGTGGGCACCACGGTGAGGGCAAATACCATACCAAAGGTGTTTCGCAGTATAAATCTCCCTAACTCTCACCCTTGTTTTATCCACCTTAAATAGTTCAATCTTCCACCCATTGTCTTCTTGATTCTTTCTTCACAACCGACATTTCAAAATGAAGGCTTCTATTCTTCTTATTGCGGCCTCCGCTGGAGCTACCCTGGCTCATGCTGCTTCCATCGTCGAGCGCGGTGACAGCATCTGCCCTGACGCGTCCTACTATCTTCCCCTTTGCTGCTTCACCACCTTTTTGGGCCCCGAAGAACTACTTGACTGCCGACATCGTAAGATAACCCCCCTCCACCCGACAGGGGTCCATGGATGCCCAGGTGTCGTCAACGCTCAGTCAACACAAAGCTCGTTTCTTTTTAGGGGTCCACTCTTACTGACCTACATAGACTCAATAGATGGCAGTGTGAAGGATTTTTCCGATTTCAAGAAAAGCTGCCGTGAGGTTGGTGGCGCAGCGGTAAAGTGTTGCAATATACCTTTTGCCGGCGAGCCTCAGCTTTGCGAAGACCCCGTTCGGATTTAGACGGCCCTATAGGTTACGAATTAAAATATCCATATGTTGATCGGTCAAATGATGGGGGGTATAAGGAGCGGATGTCCCAAGTACGTCGGTGTGGGGACTAGGATGCATGGAGAGGACGATTGGCGTGGATTAAGCTAGATCGCAAGATCTCCCCCACACCTCTTAGATAGAATATTACAACTAGAATATGAGAACCAGGGGGATTGACGCCGAAGATAACCACTTTTGAGGCCAGAAACGGCTGCCTTTCCACCGGTAAGTTTGGACGTCCAGCCGCCCCCCTCGTATATGGCATTATAGATAAAAGCCCTGTTGGCCAATAACGTCAAAATTTCGTGCATTGAGTATCAATCTATCTGTTTATTGAATGTAGGTCGGGAGCTAACAAGAATTAGATAATAGTAGAGGAAAATTACCAATATCAAGAAATTGTCAGGTGGGGAGTTTGGCTAGGTTGGTCTTTCAAACATAAAGCTTCCACTCCTCAGAGAAGGTCTTGGATGTTGGCTTTGAATATATACTGGAGACTTTTATTGATGTCATAAATGGGAGGGGGATTACATACAACACTTGCGGTCAGCTTGCCTCCGCTACAAGGCCAAGGGAAGTGGGGTTTTCGTCTCTTCATGAGCCCAAATTCTCTAGAAATAAACCTAGCAGGGAAGCCTAAATAACACACTAAGCGATATATCTCTAATAATACATCCAATGAGATTGATCTTGGGTTTATGGGGTGAATAATCCGGGGGTAGGGCGATTTTGCAAACGCTGCAGACGAGCTACACATCGTCGCAACACGCATTATTTTGAGTAGTGGTATGTCCTCATAGGCACTCAGATTACAATGAACGTCGTATCAAACGTTATTACAGTATATGGGAAATGATATAGTAATGTCCTGTCCGGGTATATGTCAGTCCATATTGTAAAGGCTGGTAAACGTGACGTAATTGTCACATATCCGACTCGCCTCCCATTTCTTGGGAGGGCACGGAGTGCAATTGATTTTATTTTGACCGATAAAAATATAAGGTTTAGTGGGTTCTCAGAACTCGCAAGGTAATTAGAGGTCTAGATCGAGGCGCAGTCGAAGTTTGTAGCCACCCATCTATATGGTGGCAACCCTAGACCGATCATATTTCGGTTGGCATGGTGAAGGCAATTTCATTTCTCTTCGTCGACAAGACCTGACATACAGACAAAGGTAAAGGGGCCTCTGGATACAGCTAGATCCAGAGAGAAAACGCACCAAGCCCTCAAGAGCTTGCCTTTATCTCCTAGCTTTTGGCATACGTAGTAAAATGTAGTGTTCACTAAAGCTGTCCTACTTCAACGTAATTCGGTACAGGGGCCCGGGCAAGGAAAACACCCCGGATAGAGCTCTTAGATTTCTCGTGTTCAGCATCACACTCACTCAAATATTTCTTGGCATCCTTGCTGGCCGCGAGCTGTTAAACGATTACCATGGATGATGACCCTTCCATTCCTCAAAAGCTTTCTGGGCACCACTACACAGCCTCCTTTTGGAAAAAGCATAACTATCCAATGGCCTGAAATATGAAATAGTCCCCTCTCATTAGAGGAGAATCATTTCTATACGATCAACGTACTGACGGGACGAGTACTATGCAGAACGCACCTATGGCTTCTTCTCGTATTGATTCGGATCAGCACCCGGCAACCCCGGCCTCATTGCAGGCGACAAGCCCTTCTGATGAGGATGCAAGGGTCGATTCAGATGCAGCACTGCCGGTGATCTCTCATGCTTCGGATTGGCATTCGCACTCAATTGACGAGAATACCTTGCGTCCGCGTTCGCAGTCGATCTCATCCACTGAGGCTACGGTGGTTCGCTCAAGGACTCTGTCAGATATATACTCGGATCAAACTGTGAAATTTGAGTATGACGATGTGTCACTGTTGGAAGCACTAGTACCGGATGCTCGCGATGACGCCGATTTTCACGTTGACAATAATCGGTTTGCCTTCTCGCCTGGACAGTTGAACAAAATGCAAAACCCCAAGTCCCTCGCAGCGTTTTTTGCCCTCGGTGGCTTGCAAGGGTTGAGTAAAGGCCTACGAACGGACCTTGATACAGGCCTGTCCGTCGACGAGGGACGACTGGATGGTTTTGTAGATTTTCAGCAGGCGACGTCACACCTATACAATACACCTTCTATCGCTAAATCGCGACTACAAGCCAACCCGGCTCCGGCAGTAGCTGTAAATACCAACGGTCGTCCGAACTTTGAGGACCGTATCCATACTTTTTCTAAGAATAAGCTACCGGCTCGAAAGTCACCTGGGTTGTTGAAGCTGTTTTGGGTGGCCTATAACGATAAGATTATTATCTTGTTGACGGTCGCCGCTGTCATTTCGTTGTCTTTGGGGATATACGAAACGGTGGATGGCGGCACAGGCGTGGAGTGGGTGGAAGGCGTCGCTATCTGCGTGGCGATTCTCATTGTCACCGTCGTCACCTCAGCCAATGATTGGCAAAAGGAGAAACAGTTTGCCAAACTTAACAAGCGAGTAAGTATTATATGATTCCTCCAATATATGTGTTATTTTTTCTAACCTTGTTTAAGAATAATGACCGCGACGTCAAGGCTATTCGCTCTGGCAAGCCCACAATGATATCTATTTACAATGTCATGGTGGGCGACGTACTCTGCCTGGAGCCCGGTGACTCTATTCCCGCTGATGGGGTCTTGATCTCGGGTAATGGTATTAGATGCGACGAATCATCAGTCACCGGCGAGTCAGATCATATAAAGAAGACAAATGGCTATGAAGTCTGGCAGCAGGTTATTGAAGGCCGCGTGAATAAAAAGCTTGACCCGTTTATGATCTCCGGCAGCAAAGTTCTCGAAAGCGTGGGCACCTATCTCGTGACTAGTGTCGGACCTTTTTCAACATATGGTCGACTTATACTATCGTTGCAGACTTCCAACGATCCTACACCGCTCCAAGTGAAATTGGGTCATCTTGCTAATTGGATCGGTTATTTAGGATCAGCGTAAGGATTACACCCCCTAGATATCAAATAGGCGCGCTAACAATATATTATAGTGCTGCCGTCATTCTCTTTCTCGTCCTGCTATTTCAATTTGTCGCAGATCTTCCAAATCATCCTGATCAGAGCGCGACTGTGAAAAGCCAACATTTTGTGGATATTTTAATTGTGGCCGTGACCGTTATTGTTGTCGCAGTCCCAGGTAAGTAGTTATTAGTAAACTTTTATACTTCTTTTATTATAGATGTACTGATATTCCCCTAGAGGGGCTTCCTCTCGCTGTCACACTTGCTCTGGCATTTGCTACAACTCGTATGGTTAAGCAGAATAACTTGGTTCGCGTTCTACGGGCCTGCGAGACAATGGGAAATGCTACGGTAATATGCTCCGACAAGACAGGGACCTTAACGCAAAACAAAATGACCGTCGTTGCTGGCATCTGGGGCTCGCATCAAAGCTTCAGTAGATTATCAGAGGGCGAAACTCAACCTAGCTCGGTAGGTATGCTAGAGAGCTTCCAGCAACTCACAGCTCCTATACGAGATCTTATTGTTAAGAGTGTTGCCTTGAACTCTACCGCTTTCGAGGAAGGGACCAATGGCCAAAAAGAATTCATTGGAAGTAAGACTGAAGTTGCACTACTTCAGCTAGCTCATGATTATTTGGGCATGGATCTTACCCTAGAGCGTGCATCCACCGAGACCGTCCAGCTTTTCCCATTCGACTCGGCGCGGAAATGCATGGGTCTAGTTTACCGCCTATCTAATGGGGATTACCGGCTCCTTGTCAAGGGGGCTTCCGAGCTCATGATTGATACGTGCTCTATGCAGATCGCAGATATAACTACTTCTAAGGAGAGCCTCCACACGCAAGTTCTCTCAGAAGACGATCAGCATCACATCCTTGAGGCCATTGACCTATTCGCTAGAGGGTCCCTTCGAACAATTGGAATTGTATATAAGGACTATGTGACCTGGCCTCCGTTAGGGGCTAGGACGCTAGAAGATGACCTGCATTCAGCCGATTTTGACGATATCTTCCGAGACATGACTTGGGTCGGAGTCGTGGGCATCCAGGATCCTCTTCGGCCTGAGGTTCCTCCAGCAATTCGCAAGTGTTATTCTGCAGGAGTACAAGTCAAGATGGTGACTGGGGACAATATTTCAACTGCTATTGCGATTGCGTCGTCTTGTGGTATTAAGACCGAAGGTGGGTTAGTTATGGAAGGTCATGTTTTCCGAAATCTGTCGGATACGGAATTAGACCGGGTGATTCCCCAACTACAGGTTTTAGCTCGGTCTTCACCAGAAGATAAGCGTATCTTAGTGGAGCGGCTCAAGAACCTTGGGGAAACAGTCGCTGTGACGGGCGACGGCACAAATGACGGGCCTGCTTTACGAACCGCGGATGTCGGATTTTCTATGGGCATTACCGGCACTGAGGTAGCTAAAGAGGCTAGCTCAATTATCCTCCTAGACGACAACTTCCGATCTATCGTTACAGCAATCGCTTGGGGACGGACGGTAAACGACGCCGTCGCCAAGTTCCTTCAGTTCCAAATCACGGTTAATATCTCGGCCGTCATTCTGACATTTGTGTCGTCCATCTATAGCGATTCGAACAACCCCGTGCTGAATGCCGTGCAGCTGCTCTGGGTGAACCTCATCATGGATACTTTTGCTGCGCTGGCACTGTACGTAGTAGCCTTTATATGCATAAGTATTATATCTTGCTAACATATGACGGAATATAGAGCCACCGACGGCCCAACGCCTGAGATCCTAGATCGAAAACCCGTACCTAAGAGTGCTCCACTCTTCACTATGAATATGTGGAAGATGATCCTCGGACAGACAGTCTACAAACTTGCCGTGATCTTTATGCTCTACTTCTCTGGGGACCAGCTTTTAGGCCCACAGCTAGAAAAGAACGACCAAGAGCTTCGATCAAAACAGCTTTCCACCGTTGTTTTTAACACATTCGTTTGGATGCAAATTTTCAATGAGTTGAATTGTCGCCGCCTTGACAACAGGTTCAATGTCTTCGAGGGGATGTTTCGAAATTATTGGTTCCTGGGTATCAATACTGTCATTATTGGCGGACAAATAATGATAGTCTATATTGGTGGTCAAGCATTTCGCGTGACTCGTCTTAGTGGGGTTTTATGGGTTGTCTGTCTCATCTGTGCCGTGGGCTGTATACCGTGGGGTATGATTTTACGCATGATTCCCGACCACAATTTTGCTTTCGTCTTCAACGCTATCGTCAGTGGTTTGTCTATCGTGTTGTGGCCATTTATTAAGGTCTTTCGGCTATTTGGTAGGGGCTTCAAAGCATGCTTCCGGCCTATACCCAGGTTCATTCGCCGGGTTGCCTCTTGGCAGTTCTCTAACCATGGCGATGACCCTTCTCTTCAGGGGCCAACGAATTCTCAGGCTAGAGATAAGGAAGTGCCTGGTTCTATGAAGGGGAGGCACCGCGATGCCCCTGAACACCACCAAGTGCCACCGCAGATCTCGGTACCCTCCATTGCAATCACAACTCCTCCTTGACTTTCCAGTGGCTTGATGTGGGCCTAGAAACACCGTAGATGTTCATGTCGTCAGCATTGATTTGTACACTAAATACGAATAGTAACATATAAATATTAAAAAAGCAAACGTAAGAGCAAATAAAGCAAAGCAAATAAAGCAAAGCAAATAAAGCAAATAAAGCAAATAAAGCAAGCAAGCAAAGGATCTCGAAGCATATCATAGGCAAGTATATAAATCGTGACAACAAGGACAAAGAATTAGCGAGGTAGTAAATCATCGAATCGAGGAGAGAAGAATTCAGGGGAACAGATATAGAATAATCCATTTAAAGAACGAGTAGACTATAAAGCTAAGTGAATACCCTATAAACGAATAATCGGTACTGCATTACTCTAAAAGCCGTGCAACCTCCTCACAATGCTACCTACGCTAAGAGACCGAATAATTCAGATCCTAATAGTGAATTATAAAGGCAGCAAGGGCCTAGCCGTAGTTTACGGTCGAAATGTAAAATAGAGGTCTTTTTAAGTCGAAGGACATTGAAGGGAGGATACGTGACGGCGTATACATAGGAGAATACAACAATTTATAATGGATAATTAGACACTAAAAATCCCACTCTATTCGGACTCGGTGAATTCCACCAGCGGTGTTCCACTTTTACATTGATCCTGCAAGGCATATGTTAGTAAACTGTTCTTGAATCTTCATGTAGAGTCGCAAGATCTTTTTCCTCTCCCCAGCTTTAACTTCCGGGTAAAAAAAAAGAAAAAGCAGCCCAGAAAGATAAACAGGGGGTGCAGAAATCGAAACAAAAGACGTCACGCGGGTCCAGGAAATTCAAGACCAAAGTCAGGGGAAATGCGTGTGACTTACTCCTTGTTTATGCACGATCCGCGCAATGGTACCCTGTTGTGGGCTGCGAATCACCGTCTCCATCTTCATGCTCTCAATAACAACCAAGGGCTGGTCTTTCTCCACCACATCTCCCGCCTGTACCTCTACCCGGAGCACCTTGCATGGCATCGGGGCTAGGACGCTGTTTGTCACATCCTTCAATCCCAATGCCTTCTCCATCCACTTAGCCCGGGGCACTGTGAGCCGGTACTGGGTCCCACGCTGGAATGCGATAATAGTGTCCTCGTCTCGAACCACTGTTGTATCCAATCGGGTGTGCGGGAAGAACGATGTGACAATGTGTGACGCTGGATCTAGGCGGCTCACCACCTGCTCAAAGACTCGTCCGCCGATTTCCACATTGAATGTGTCATCTGCTGTCTGCTGCACCCGCACATTGAACGTGGGGCCGTCAGTAGACCCTGGGCCACTGCTCTCAGTAAATGACAATTGTCGCTCTTGGTAACTAGGAGTGAACCCGACCGTTGATCCTGCAACTCCGACTGAGGATCGCGCCCCTGAGACGGCGTCGCGATGAAGACAGGCCAATGCGACCTGCGCCAGCACCTCCTCTTCAATGGTCTTCGGGGGAAGAGCTCTTCACGGTGCTTCTCAATGTAGCCAGTTTCAACCTCACCAGCGATAAAATCCGGGCTCTTGCAGATGGCCTTTAGGAATTCTATGTTGGTCACGGGTCCTGCGACTTCATACTCCTCCAGAGCAGCAGCTAGCTTGCGGAGAGCCTCCTCACGATCTACACCGCGTACGATAAGCTTCGCGATCATGGGATCATAGTGGGCTGAGACATCATCTCCTTGCACAAAGCCAGCGTCAATGCGGATATCATCTGAAGTAGTGGGCGTTCGCACATGGAGTAGACGTCCTGAGTCAGGGATGAATCCCTGCGCTGGGTTTTCGGCGTAGATTCGGGCCTCGATACCATGACCACTCTGAGCGATACGCTCTTCCACTTCTTCTTGCGTAAGGGGCAGCTTGGCTCCTTCGGCCACCAGAATTTGCCAGTGGACAAGGTCCTGTCCTGTGACCATTTCAGTCACGGGATGCTCGACCTGGAGACGGGTGTTCATTTCCATAAAGTAGAAATCTCCAGAGTCATTGTCAAAAATGAACTCCACTGTACCAGCACCTTCATAGCCGACGGCCTCGGCAGCGGATCGTGCCTTTGCCCAGAGGTCCTTTCTAGTTGCATCAGGGAGATGAGGCGCCGGGGATTCCTCTAGAACCTTCTGGTGTCGCCGTTGAATACTGCAGTCTCGCTCTCCTAGTGCGACGGAGTTGCCATGCTTGTCTGCAAATACTTGGACTTCAATGTGCCGCGGCGTGGTGATATACTTCTCCACCAGCACATTGTCATCTCCAAATGAGCTCATGGCCTCTGACTTGGCCGATTCAAGCTGAGCTTGAAACACCGCTTTGGAACTGGCGATACGCATTCCCTTTCCACCACCTCCTTTGACGGCTTTAATAAGCACTGGGTATGTGATCTGGTCCGCCTGCTCCTCGAGGAAGGCAGGGTCTTGATTGTGTCCGTGGTAGCCTGGGACGCATGGTACACCGGCAGCTGTCATGATCTCCTTGGAACGACTAGTACGACACATTTTGTAAGCATATTAAGCATTCAAATACCACAATGAACGTACCTCTTATCGCCCATATCCTCAATGGCCTTATACGGCGGGCCAATGAAGACCAGTCCTGCCTCCGTACATTTTCGCGCAAATGCAGAGTTCTCACTCAACTGCATATCAGGCTCTTAGTTAATATCCCACCTAGAATCTAAATATTCACAGTCAACTTACAAAGCCATAGCCAGGGTGTATTGCCTGACACCCTTCTTTCTTTGCAATCTCAATAATCCTATCACCGTCGAGGTACGCCGACACCGACCCCAAATTAAAAGCGAAGGGGGAGCTCAAGGCATGTTGAGCTCGGCTATCCGGATCGGTGTAGAGTGTTGTTACGCGGATACCACGCTCCGCGGCAGTGCGTCCAACTCGTCTAGCATATCGAAGTTAGCACCATTAATTATACCTAATTCTGTGCTCAACATACAAAGCAATTTCTCCTCGATTGGCGATAAGAATTGAGTCCAGCGATTTGGTTGTATTTGATGTGTTAGCGGCCGATGATATAGCTCGCGATGTTCTGCGGGCCGCGGTCGGGGTTAAGCGGGGGGTAATGCGGAGAAGGGATGAGAGGGTCATGACGATGAAAGAACAGCCTTTCCAGCTGTAACGAGGTCTTTACAGGGTAATTTGGTTCACAATGCAAGCATAATCAAGGTATTTCGAAGGGATAAAATAGAGAATGGGAAATGTTCAAGGGTTTGGAGAAGCTCTTGTTGAGCCGACGCAAAGCGAGATTGCGGGGAAAGCCGAGAGTATAGGGTGACATAAGCAGCTGCTTTGGGAAATGCCTGATCACGGGGTCTTCCACCCAGACGATGTTTGTTAAAATCCTCCATGGCTGGCCAAGTGGGTAAAATATATAAATGTTGGTTATCGCGTGAAAGAGCGATTGTGGGGAATACCCTATGGTTAAAATCCCCACGGGGAAACCTGGAGGGTTTGGATTCTGGGGTTGATTGCTTAGGGCGACACCCGTTATCTTTTAACGGTCCTGGGTTTCTGTGCTGGATATATTGGCAAATACATAACGCGATATGATTTCTATCCTATCTCACAGTCTCAACATCACGCTTCAAGTTTTTTCTTTCTATTTTTCAAATAGAGGGGAACCAGTCGTCCTGCGGACCGTGATTTTATGTTATAGTTTGGTAAATTGCCATATCAGCTCCTGTGATACCCAACTGACAAGTCTGGAGACTTCTAACTTATCCGCCAAGCCAAGACCTTGGTAAGATAATGCTAAAACAAGACTACGATAGGCGTTTGGTTTACATCTCGGGAGATACCAAGAACTTGTAGATCTATCTCTTGTCCTGCAGGGTTATGGAATAATAGCAAACTCACTGCGCATGGGAGCAATCTCGATTGCTAGCCCACATCTTAATAAAAACAGAAAGTTTTCAAACGTGGATATGTGATCCGATAACACTGATGTAATCCCGGTGATATGCTCCGGACAGAACTTCCTTGATAGGAATGGCTTATCTAGGCTGTAGCGAACTACCCAGGTGAGTCAATCTAAGCGGAGTAACTATACCTTTAGTTGCACCGACTATTAAAGAATGTGTTTGTGGGCTGAAATTATGCCTTTCTCGCTCCTAGATCATAGCTTGTGCTCTAAAAATTGAAAACTAACAGCAGTTACCTTGTTGGACATTGACATCAAGATATTATACCAATGATGAATCCCTTTAGCCTGGTGAAGCAATATATCTGGGACTCTTCCCAGAAACCAATCAAGGAAGAGGTATTCGATCCAAAAGTATGTACATCTAGATAAATTCTTACACTTGACCAAAACTTCGCCTCTAAGATTTCATCCAACAGGTACACCTCAACTACACCCCACCTTCAAAGAAATTTTCTATGCAAGAATTGCTTCTAAGCCAAAGTCCAACTGCATCTCCCATTGCAGGAACAGTGCCATTTCCATTATTGTCAACCGAAGGTGTCAAAGCCTACCGAAGGGCTCTATTTCAAAAGGATGTTATAGACCAATGTGCCAGCTCCCCATTCCCAGGGACTTTGGTCCTCCGTGATGCAGTGAAACAATCAAAGTTTGTCAATGACTTTTGGACGCACCCGGAGACAATGAGGATTGTGTCTGAAGCAGTCGGTGTACCTCTGGAGGTGGTGATGCCCACGGAAATAGGGCACACTAACATTCAAGTTGAAGGCACTACAATCGCAGAGATGGCCAGCAATCTCAAACCTGAGCCAGTGGTGGAAAAGCTCGAGTTGAGTGCCGAAGATCGAGCTTACGACCCTTTGAAAGATGCTAGTGCTATCATTCCATGGCAGTAAGTTCATTCCTAGCCACCTTGCCTGTAACAGTGACAAGACTAATTGGACCAAAGCTATGACTCGTATCCTTACGTTTGTGTATTGATGCTGAGTGATACTGAGGGTATGATCGGAGGCGAGACATATATCAAGAAGGGAGATGGCGAGGTACAGAAGGTGTGTAGGGATTTATTTTATTGCGACTGAGATATTCTTACTAACCAAACACTGTGAAGGTTGAGGGCCCCCAAATTGGTCATGCTGTCATGCTCCAAGGCGGCGAAGTCTGTCATCTTGCTGCCCGGGCGAAAGGTGTGAAGGAGCGGATATCAACAATCACTTCATACCGTTCTACGGTGTCAAACGTTTATGACTCCAGCTATATCACCAACGTCCGCCCTTATGCAGATACAAATTCTCTCTACCCTGAATGGACACAATACCGCCTGCGGAAGTTGAGAGATGAGCTTACCCATTATCTTGACAAGACGGAGACAGAAGACCCCGTCCAAGAGAGGAGGGACATACAAAATCTTATCGATCAGCAGATTGATTATCTACAACGAACATCTCGACAGATGGTTAACCCTGAGTATACTCAGCAAGTTTTGAAGAAGTATGGCAGGCCGTCATACTACGATGCGCCTAGAATTTGGGAGACTGTTCAATCACTACCAGAATTTGACAGACTTGCATCAACCGCAGATGAGGAACGACGCTGGAAGCCGGAGAGTATCTATTGGACGGACCTCCAGAGATCCATTGAAACAATTCGGTTAGGGAAGCCTCTTCAGAGTACTCTTGGAACGGGTGTGCGGGAGAAGACGAGAAAGTACTATATGGGGGATGAACTTCTACGGCAAGGACTCAATGAAGTATTCTTGGATTGGTTGGGGGATTCAGGTATCTGGGAACTTTACTGCAACATTTGATAGGAAGAAATTGAGTCAATTATTACCATGAGATCCGAAGTTTATGCCGGCGAGTAGCTTTCAAATTGCACAAATATATTCACATCCAAGATACATCCCCAATCAAAATGCCGAAAAAGAACCAGTTGTACGATGATTGTCTTTCTACTATACTATAGTATAACAAGATATGCATTCTATAATAAATGAAGAATCGAAGTGATAATCATAATTTAAATTTTATTGTGTTGGGTCACCAGACAATCCGAAAGAGAGGTGCCATGCCCTCCCTCGAACCATCCAGCAACGACTAAATAAAAATCCTCTCATCAGAGAGCCCGAAAGAGAGGTGCCATGCCCTCCCTCAGACTGTCCAATGATACCTTCCATCCATTGAATCCCGGTTTCCATCATTCCATACAAAAGGTAGAGCTCAATATTCATCTCCGACATAAATTCGAGGCCTCGTTAAAACCAGCTTGAAGAAAACCCTGTGGGATAAATACAACCAGCTGGAAAGAGTACCTCGTACATAGTTTGAATCTAATCTCCTCCAATTTCCTTCCCTTTCCTTCTCTTTTTGCCTTGAATCTCCTCCATTGCCTTGTTGCCTTGTTGTTCTGTTGTTTTTGGTATTTTTGGTGTTTGGGGGGTTGGTGGATGTCATCACTCCATCCACCTTGGACATCAATCTTGATATTGGCGTTGTTTTTGTTGTTTTTGGGTTCTTTTTTCGTTTTTGGGCGTTTCTGGGGCCGGCGGGTGGTCATCACTCCATCCACCTTGACCATCAACCTAGTATTGACGTTGTTTTTAGGTGTTTTTTTGTTGTGGGTGCTTTTGGCGTCGGTGGGTGGTCATCACTCCACCCACTTTGACCATCAATCTTCAATCTGGTATTGGCGTTGTTTTTGGATATTAATATTGGTTTTTTTTTTTTTCTTATGATTTTCGTCGTTGTTCCAGGGCCGGAGCAGTTGCGTCGAGTTTCTCGGGGACTTATCGGGCAGCATGGCAGCTCATACCCATTTTCTTCTTCTGGGTCGGCTGGATGGGAAGATAAGTCCTCTCTAGGATTCAACAGATAGCTGGGCTGCCATGCCTGTTTTTTTTCCCTTTGGGTTGGTTTGATGCGCAGTTAGGTCCTCTTGTCTCTTCGGGACTCATGGGTGGCATGGGTTGCCGTGTCTGTTTTCTTCTTCTTCTTCTTCTTCTTCTTCTTCTTCTTCTTCTTCTTCTTCTTCTTCTTCTTCTTCTTCTTCTTCTTCTTCTTCTTCTTCTTCTTCTTCTTCTTCTTCTTCTTCTTCTTCTTCGGGTCCATTCGATAGATAGTGGTGACAGAGCAACCCATGCCTGTTTTCTTTGAGGCTCGTTCAATAGGGAGTTGAGTCTCGAAGAGACAAGAGGACACATCGAGTGGCATGGCAGCCCAAGCCCAATTCCTTCTTCAGGGGCGGCTTAATGGGCAGGTAAGTTTTAAAAAGGACTTAACAGATGGCGTGGGCTGCCATGCCTGTTTTTTTCCCTTCAGAGTCGGTTTGATGCGCATTTGTGTCCTCTTGTCTCTTGGGGACTGATGGGTGGAATGGGCTGCCGTGCCTATTTTCTTCTTCTTCAAAGCGTTCAGTGGGCAGTTGAGTCCTCTTGCTCCTTCAGGACTCATCGGATGGCACGGGTTGCCATGCCCTTTTCTTATTCACGTTCGACCGATTCTCCGACGGGTTATTTCCATTTCCAGAAAGCTGCCATGAGCTGCCATGCGCTTTTCTTCATGTTCGACCGATTCGATTTCCTCCAGTGAATACTTTCCTCCAGACGGCAGTGTCGAGCCGTCCATGTTTCCAAGAGACTGTCTTGGGTTATCGTGAAATTGAGGCCTCATTAAAACCGGCTAGGAAAGAAACCCGCGTGGGGAAAGCTTCCCAGCTGGAAAGAGTGCCTCGAGTGGTGTCGTACCATGTTGGTATCAAAGATACTGTGGTGAATGTCCAACCGGGAGAAAACCACGTGGGAAAGGCTCCCGGCTGACTTGAAGTGGTTCACCAAGAAAGGTTCAACGAGGTTGAACGTCCAGTCGGCAGGAAACCCAGTGGGAAAAACTGCGGATCTGGATGGGGATGAGAGAGACCTTGACAGACGTCGATTGAACCGGTCCCACACGATGCCAACTCCAGCTGGAGGTATGTCTTTCGTACATTGCAGTCTCAAACCAGGTATCAGTCACAAGGCGGGTTTTAGAGCCCGAATTATCAGTTCCAAGTGAAGACCACAGGCGCCGCAGTCTCCACCCAGTACGTCAAACCAGGTATTAAGAATGCGGATGCTCGGTGTTCGAAGAGAGACCCGGGCCCTGGTCTCTCTCTAAACACCGGCGAAGATGAGAGAGGGTGAGAATCTAGGTTATCAGCCCCCATCAAATTGCTTCACTGAGGACATCAAACCCAGATATAGGAATCGCGGGTGCTCAGCACTGTGAATAAAGGCCAGGGCCCTAGCCTCTACCCAAGCACTGAGGTGATGAGGTTTACAAAATTCAAAATTCGAAGCATACAGGTAGTTTCTTCCAAAAGACTTTGGTTGGTTTGTTAAATTGAATCCTCTTCAGCAGGTGGGGGTCCCAGTTGGGACAAATGATGGGGGGCCCGGGGAGGTACATCGCGTGGGATGGTTGTAGAAGGAAAGTAAAAAAGGAGAAGGGAGAGGAAGAGGACGGGTATATATAACTTTGTATGACGTAGACTAAATAGCTTCCGACATCTATTCAGGTAATCAGCGTATATTCTATGAGATGAATGGGCTGTATAGTTTAGATGTTCGGTCTGAATGAAGGAAGTGTATACTGTAGAAGGTATAGTACTTGGAACTCACTTGGAGGGCTAGTATATTTGAAGATTATCACGTGAACACTTATGATGCCATATTTAGAAAATGGTCGAAGTCATTTGATGTCCGAATCTTGGATATTGCGTGCATTTTCGATATAACTGCTGGCCGCTGTTGTATACAGAACGGAAGGCGAAGTCAAAAAAGGCATGCAAACGACAAGATCTGACAATCATTTCATGCATAGAAAGCCTAAGGAAAACCATAAAAATCATGTTTAGAATGAAACAGAAACATAAAGAGAAGCGTATAATCCATGTCTCTATCAATTATTTAAAGTCATGAAAAGCTGTGTGGGTGCCTTGTTTATCAGGCCTAAAATTGTTCTGCTTTCTTGGATGACAGATTCTAAATACATCCCCTATTCCCATTGAGCCCATCTTCTTTTGTTTTCATCGTATTCTCCGTGGCCAAGACTATTGAAGACAGAGCACAACAAAGATGAGCCCATAGGGTCAACGCGATGTAGATCTTTAAAGTGGAGAAACGCCAAGGCTTATGTTAGCAGGATTGCCATCTTCTTCAATGCACGATCAGTCCGATCTTCACTCCGTCACGTCAAGCCGTGCATCCTCGTTTTGCTCGTGCTATACATATATTTACTTGATTTACTTTCGTTTAAGTCTTGTCATTCATTTAAGAAACGCCTCCTCGAACTCCTCACCACTCGATCCTCTTTCAACTTTTTTTCGGTATCCACTCCAAGATGTCCGACGACGATGAGTACTATGAATTTGAGGATGATTACATGTACGAGGATTTAGTCCCAGACCTGGTTGTAAGTCAGATTCTCAAGGCGATGCCTAAATCAAGCAGTGCCATCAAATCTGCACGAGAAAACATCATCAATTCAGACCCTAATCAAAACTTTGCTTGCGCAGGACGACCTTGCCGCTTCCTCATACTACGAAGCCGCTCTATACGAAGACCCTGGCATTGACGTCGAAGACTATTTCAGCGACTGGGACTATTATTCAGATGATTACCACGACGATGACGCAACCGTCGAGCAAAGCGCAGAGAGAAAGAAACGAACCGAGATCGCAGCGACAGCACCACGACGAACGAAGGCATCTGCCCGTCCAAAAAGCCAAATCGCCAGAATCCCACCGACAAAATCTCCCCTGGTACCGGATATCGCCTCTTTCCAGGGCGTGGTGTGGAAAACACCCGCGCTGGACCGGGACCAGGACGTCGCCATTCTATACGAGCCGGACACGGGCGAGAAAGTCGCGCTTCTGGAGAACTGGCGGGAGGTCTTTAAATCTGCTCAGCCGGCGCTGGATAGGTCGCGGCTGAAAAAGCGAAATGTGGTTGAATCCAAGCATGTCGATCTGTCGCTGGCTGACGACGAAATGCTCGCTGGTGACGGCACCGACGAACCCGATAGTGAGGACGAAATGTCCGATGTTGTCTCGTCGGATACTTCAGTCGTCGATACTGGGGATGCTTCAAATACAACTCCGGACCCGGATCCGGACTCTTTCCGCTCGATGAAACTGTCTTCCCCGCCGAAGGTCGTGATTCCGTTGAAGAGAGGGCGGAAGCGGAAGGCCGTTGTACAGAAGGATGATACCGACGAGGACACGGCCTCGCCTCGTCCGAAGAGAGTCGCGTTGCCCAAAGGCGGTGGTGATAAGGCTGCAAAGCGTGGTGCGGCACCACCGGTGCGCAGGTCTGCTAGGCAGAAGAAGTAGGGCGGTTGTGTTGGTAATGCTAGATATAGGGCTATTTATGACATATACAACGATTAAAATGAATTTGCATATACTCTCCAAAGGGATAGTATCGTCCGAAAAGAAGTAATTTTGTGTATAATTCTCTTGACTAAGCATACTCCTTGTTGAATGCGCGTCCGATGACCATCCTACGGATCTCGCTTGTACCAGCACCAATCTCATACAACTTTGCGTCCCTGAGAAGACGCCCAGCAGGTATCTCGTTGATATACCCGCTGCCTCCCATGAGCTGGATGGCATCAAGCGTGCATTCAGTCGCGCGTTCAGCGGCGTAGAGGATTGCACCAGCACAGTCCTGAGTGCGGACGGTCAGCTCGCCAGGTGCCACGGCGGCATTGTCTACCTGCCGTGCTGTAGCGTAGGTGTATGCACGCGAGGCAGCCAGCTTAGTGTACATATCCGCAAGCTTGCCCTGGATCAACTGATTGTGGGCGATCGGGGTACCGAATTGCTTGCGCACATGTGTGTAAGGAAGGACAAGGTCAAGGGCCGCTTGCATGATTCTATGGAGTGTTAGAATGGGAGAGGTGTTCTGTGGTATGGGATGGCTCACCCTAATGGTCCTGCACTCAGGACGAGTCGCTCCAAGTCCAGTCCCTCCATCAAGACACGGACACCGCGGTTCACCTCACCGAGGAGGTTCTCCCGGGGGACGAAAACATCCTCAAAGATAAGCTCACCTGTGTTAGAGCCACGCATACCCAACTTGTCTAGCTTACGTGCGCAGGAGAAGCCCTTGAAGCTCTTCTCGACTATGAACGCTGTGATACCTTTGGATCCTAGCTCAGGCTCTGTCTTGGCGTAGACGACAATGTAATCGGCATCAGGGCCCTGTAATAGATTGTGAGAAATGAGTTCGACACTTCCAATCCATCTATGCCACCAAAATGACTTACATTGGTAATCCACATCTTGGTTCCGTTCAAGAGCCAGCCTCCGTCGACTTCCTTCGCCGTGGTCTTCATGCTGACTACATCGGAGCCAGCTGAATGCTCCGACATTGCGAGAGCACCGACCTTCTCGCCTGATAGGAGACCAGGAAGGATGCGCTCTTTTTGTTCTGTCGAGCCATTGAGGGAGAGCTGGTTCACGCAGAGCTGGGAGTGGGCGGCGTAAGACAGACCGATGCTTCCTTTTTATACAGAACTGAGGTCAGATCGATTTTCAAATAGCATATACTAGAAGACCTACCGGATGCTCGGCTAATCTCTTCCATCACCACGCAATGTGCCTGGTAGCCCATACCCAAGCCACCGTACTCCTCGTTGGCTGTGACACCGAGGAACCTTCATATATGTCAGTATGCGCTGTACAACACACTCCCTTCTTGGAGAAGAGAGTTGACCACTTGAGAAAACCCATACCCAGCATCGCCCATCTTCTTCCACATCTCCGCTGGGAACTCATTCTGTTCATCTGTCCGTGCAGCAACATCGGCTGGGATCTCTCGCCCTACAGCAAAGTTAGAAATGCGACTTGGGCAAGAGCGTAGGTAACGTACTTGTGAAATCTTGCACACGTTCTCGTAGCTCTAGAAGATCATCCTCGGATGGAGGTGCAAAGCCCGCAGGGTGTTTTGTTGAGATGGAGCGGAAACATGGGGTGAGTGCGGGGATGCGGTTTAACCGCACCGCGCGCGTTGATGTACGAAGGAGAGAAGGGAGGGTTAGAGATGCCATGGTTATATCAGAGAATCGATGTGGAATGTAAAAGCTGGGGGAATTGTCCTTGGGGAAGTGGACCACTTAAATATGTGTGCAGGGGGTGCGGTAGTCCTCGGCGCGCAATCAAGGACTGGTTACGCTCTATGTATGAACGAGTTTCCCACCTTGGAACATGCAAGTCTTCACATTTTGAAATTTCTGACCGATATCATGATTTATCTACAAGCTAATTGATTTGTCTACTCTATACTCTTTTTATTCCATCAATTGTGTAATATCATTTGGTCGTATTTGGTCTTTTTTAGTCTTTCTCATGAGAATGATGATGGCCCTCGGGTATACGCGGCAATCGCCGCACCTCCGCATTTGGGGAAACCCCAGCTTTGTGCCTCCCTTCTCTTCTGCCGTTCGCTGTTTATAAGTTTAAATACTTCGAAAATCTCATAATATACCCATAAATCTCTCTCCGTTTTGACTTGAGTTGAGCTCTGCCGTCCTCTTCTCGGAAACCTGCTACACTCCACCTTCCCCGCAATGCGTGCCCCGTCCCCGCTCGTCCTTCGGAGCTGGGGCTCACGGCTCGGACCACGCAAATGTCTAAACACATTCCGCCAGTCAACAAATATTACACGACCAGCCTATAGAACGGTAGCAAGTTATACACATCCTCACCATGCCTCAGCCCTCTCCGTCCTCCCCACAGCAGTGGACACCTCCTCACAGGAGTACCGCGAAAACAGCGAACAAATGCAAGAACTCCTAGACCGGATGAACAACCTACACACAACAATTGCACGTGGGGGAAATGACAAAGCACGCGAGAAGCATATCGCCCGCGGTAAAATGCTCCCAAGAGACCGGATCTCCGCCCTGGTTGATCCAGGCACCTCCTTCCTAGAACTATCCGCACTCGCAGGACACGGTGTTTACGAAGGCGAAGATGTTCCAGCAGGCGGAATCATCACCGGCATTGGGATGGTCGAGGGTGTCAACTGCATGATCGTCGCCAACGACAGCACCGTCAAGGGCGGCACCTACTACCCCATCACGGTGAAGAAGCACCTCCGCGCACAAGCCATTGCGCAAGAGAACCGCCTCCCCTGTATCTATCTCGTTGATTCTGGCGGTGCAAACTTGCCTCACCAGGCAGATGTATTCCCAGACCGCGATCACTTCGGCCGAATCTTTTTCAATCAGGCCCGCATGAGCTCCCTCGGTATCCCACAACTCTCTGTTGTCATGGGTCCCTGCACAGCGGGTGGTGCATATGTGCCTGCTATGAGTGATGAGACAATCATTGTCGAGAACCAGGGTACTATCTTCCTGGCAGGTCCGCCTCTCGTCAAGGCCGCGACGGGAGAGGAGGTTTCCGCCGAAGACTTGGGTGGTGGTCAGTTGCATTCGAGCATTTCCGGTGTAACAGATTACCTGGCTGTCGATGATGCACACGCTATTGTCCTTGCTCGTCGTTCTGTCGCGAATCTCAACTACCCTACCACGACAACTCCGCTCCAGCTGGAGGACAAGAATGGAGATTCGCTTGTCGTGAAAGAACCGTTGTACGATCCTAATGAGCTAAACGGGATCGTTGGCACGAATCTACGCCGCCAGATCCCTGTTCATGAAGTCATAGCGCGGATTGTTGATGGGAGTGAATTCGCCGAGTTTAAGCGTGACTATGGCTCGACCCTGGTAACGGGTTTTGCTCGCATCCACGGCCATCGTGTCGGTATCGTTGCTAACAATGGAATCTTGTTCTCCGAGTCCTCGCTCAAGGGAGCGCATTTCATTGAGCTTTGCGCCCAACGGCGGATCCCTCTTGTCTTCTTGCAGAATATCTCCGGCTTCATGGTCGGTGCTGATGCCGAGAAGGGAGGTATCGCGAAGAACGGTGCTAAGCTTGTTACTGCTGTTGCGTGCGCTGATGTCCCCAAGTTCACTGTTGTGTTTGGGTCCAGTGCTGGTGCTGGTAATTACGGGATGTGGTAAGTTTATCCGTGGGCTGTTTCTGGTTCATATCTAACTGACATTGCTTTAGTGGTCGTGCCTACTCGCCTCGTCTTCTCTTCATGTGGCCCAATGCCAAGATCGGAGTTATGGGCTCTGAGCAACTCTCTGCCGTTATGGAGGCAGTTGGACGATCCGCCGATCCGGCTTTGAAAGAACGCATTGACCGTGAATCCGAGGCGACCTTTTCGTCGGCTCGTCTGTGGGATGATGGTATCATCCCTCCATCTCAGACGAGAAAAATGCTGGGGTTGGGTCTGGCAGCTGCGCTCAGTGGCAAGGCTGAGCCTGATGTGCAAACTAGGTTTGGCGTGTTCCGGATGTAGAGTGCCAAATGGTAGGAATGAGATATGCAAATTTTCATCCGGGATAATCCGAGAAAACATAGAATGGAAGAAGTGTGTTCATGTGCTATTGACTCGATGTAACATTTTGGAATAGTGAAATGGAAATATGTAGTGTAGCCTACAGGCCTCTCTAGAGTATCATTCTTTAGTCTAGTAGGGCTTTATGACTGTACGCGGTCCGAGAAGCTCATCGTAGAAAAAGGTTTAGATTGTCCATGATATCCGGTGCTATATTTTCACACCTTTCTATGTTGGCGGCAAAGGGTTCAACCGCATGCCTAACATTCAAGGGATCTAGCCCGAGTCTCTCAACCAAAGGATAATACCAACAGGACCAAAAGAAAAGAAAGCACTTTTTCCTCCATCTCGTGAAAGTAGTCTTTTTCGAGTCCAGATCAACCAAACCTCAAATATGTCAAATATAAAAAAGAGGATGACACCAATTGTGTATAGTCCAAAAGAAAAGAAAAGATACAAATCTGTAGCAGCGAAGCAGGGCTCTATAAGGGGGGAGAGGCATAGACATATAGAAAGAACATCAGTCATACATGACATGTCAAGATGCATAGCAGCGTCGGGTGGGGCATATGTTGCAGAGGGTCGTATCGCATGAAAATGAAACAAGACAAGGGTCCCTAGTCAAAGGGACCACTCGAATTGTTGAAATCAAAGGATGATACACGGACCGCGGCGATTTTTCGGCCGGCGATTCTCTCTCTTGCGGTCATGACGATTGGGGCCCTCGCGCTTGCGGTTGGGATCGTTGCTATTCCTTGACCCCTCGGAGTCTTTACGGATGATTTGGCGACACAGATCGACGAAGACTTCGTTGACGTTTGCGCGGCGGCGGGCAGATGTCTCGTAGTATGGGGCGTTACCCCATTTCTGGGATAGGCCAAAGGCGCGAGCACGTGGTACGGCGCGGTCTTCTTCCAGGTCGGATTTGTTACCCACGATCACGATTGGGACGTTCTCGTCGTCTTTGATTCGGATGATTTGTTCGCGGAGCTCGGAGAGTTCATTTAGGGAGGACATGCTGGTGATGGAGAAGACGAGGAGGAAGCCCTGGCCTTGTTTCATGTAGAGCTCTCTGTTGGGGGCATTGTTAGTACGGTGTGGTTTTTCGGGGGTCGGTCCGTGGAATCAATTGTGGTGCTGGGTGAATAGCTAGATTTACCTCATTGCCGCTTGAGGGTTGTTAGCTTAGATCTCACATGGGTAGATATGCTGATTTGAGGGGGGAGGGAGACTTACTGAACTGCTCTGTTCCTGCAGTGTCAAGACTTCGAAAATTTAGCATCATGCCATATTCCAAACCACCGAGGTACTCACATCTCCAGTATACATTGTCGACCCTGTCAAGCTTGGTTAAAGAGGAAAATTTCCAGTGCATGGTAGACCACTTACGTCTACCTCAATCTGTTTCCGGTATGAATCCTCGATCGTGGGGTCGTAGCTTTCGATCCAGACATTTTGAACGAATTGGGCTGGAAGATAGTTCTTGATCAGCTCGAGGACTCAGGGGAGGAGGAGCATAGGGAACGGACCTGTTAAGCAACTTTTTCCAACACCTCCTGTTATCGCGACGCACGGGAATGCCTGTGGTCAGCATGTGACCTTGGGAATATCTCAGGAGTAGAGGCTCCTACCAGCACCCAAAACAACAATATGGTATTCGCGTCTAGACAGGGCGCAAACAAACAATTAGAATTGGATCTGGCAGTATTCAGGGAGTATCCATAAACTCACTGTGGCCGCATTGAGAAGAGTGTGTATCGATATTATTTAGTGATTCGGAATGGAAATCGAAATAGCTCTCTCGAGGACCGAAGGTCGGGCTTTAGTGTGGATCCCACGTGGTATATATGACGATCTCAAAACTTAGAACAAGTTGACTGTGATGAATTGGCACATAAGCCACGTTGAATGCTTCAATTGTATTGTGTAGCTCGAAGATGGAAGAGCTTGGAAGGGCGGTACGCGGGTGCGGTTACATGGCCCGCCTTTTCGTGCACGGGAGGAGATTCGAGGGATTCGAAGGATTGGATCCACTGAAGAGTATCAACAAATATAAAGAAAAAGATATTTAGGCGTTTCTGCATGGATTTTTTTTTCGAGAGGGGAGAAACGTCTGATAACGGGAGTTAGCCTAATTGCCCTCTGTCTTTTTGATCCTTCGACCCAATCACATCATATGCCGAGATCGTCTCTGGCGGTCAGGCACTAACTGTAAGTGTATGCCTTCCCGGCAATGGTTTGAATCCTTTCAATTTTTTTGAGTTCTTTTTGGGGGTCCTTTTTGGGGTCGTTTTAATCTTTTCTTTCCCGGTTTCAATTGCCATCCCTGTAAGTATGGGTCACGTGATTATCATGTGGTTGGTATCAAAGCGTTGAAGCAGAATCCCGAGGTCACTTGTGTTTGAAGATACTCAGCATCTGTCATTTTTTATATATATATATATATTTCAACTTGATACCTCGTGTGTGAGAGAAAGTGGAATTAGAGACATGTTCCATAATTGGTCAATGTTTATTGGACCTCGGGACAAGGACAAGGATGCATCACATAAACCCGAACGGACCAACTGCTGCAGGGGGGGGAAGGCCCACAAAGGAACACTCCCCGGTTTCATGATAGAAGAAAGAAAAAAAAACATTGGAAACGTAAAAATGCAAACAGGCTAGGTACATATGTATTTATCTCGAATAAAGCAAACAACCCTCGATGATTTCAAGGAAAGCCGCGTACGTCATGTGTAGGATGTACCTAGGTATGACTATCTCGGGCAATTTGTGGAGAGGACTGATTCTGATACATCCATGAATACGGAGTAATGCATTCAACATCAAATGTTGCATTTGAAATCTGTTTCAAAGTACATTAATCCTTCAGGGCTAGTACTATTGAAGCTTAAAACTCGCTACGGAGTACATTCTAAGGCAAAAATGTTGGCCTTAGCCCCTCAGTTAGGCACTCCAGTAGATAGTATGCTTAAAGATGTAGGTAACCATATCTGCATTGGTCTCTAGGGCTAGATCTTTAGATTCAAAAGTCACTAGTGAGATACACATCTATTCAAACCAATAACAATCTACTGGGTGCCGCTTCGCACATGGACGGATACGTCATGTATATCACGTGATACACACAGGCTAGCCTCTGTCTTCTTGCCGCCAGCTTTACCGGTTGCATTCTCACCATCCCTCGCTCCATTGTCACCCTAATAGCTCTTTGACCTGTTTTCCCACAAACGATACCCTTTATAAGCAAAAATGGCCTCTTTCCAGGAGCGTGCTCAGCACTCTATTGCTCAGCTTGACAAGGAGGTACGTTTCCAGCGATTGTTGTGTGTTTCGCTGGCGTCTCAGGTCTAGCCCTCGCCTGATGGCTGCAATGATTCTGAGCGCCAGCGACCACAGCAGGAGCGACTGCAATCGCATCCTTTGATAACCATTTCAAGATGTTATTTCTCGCTGTGATTTTGAGCTGATATCTGTCATTTTGTAGCTCTCCAAGTACCCTGTCCTCGCCAATCTTGAGCGTCAGACCAATGTCCCCAAGGTCTATGTCATCCTCGGCCTTGTCGGAATCTACTTCTTCCTTGTCTTCTTCAACATCGCTGGCGAGTTCCTCGTCAACTTTGCCGGTTTCCTCGTCCCCGGTTACTACTCCCTTCAGGCGCTTTTCACCTCAAGCACCCAGGATGACACTCAGGTAAGACATTTTTGTAACTTTTCCTTTCCATGCGCAAATCGCTAACCATGTCTTTCTTTACTCTCATAGTGGCTCACGGTATGTTCATATGATCCTATCACCTTGTTGTCGCAATCATGTGGAAGTATGGGATCACCACCGATTCGGGGTTATCACACACCATCCACGTGACATCTTTCCCATTCGCACACGACCGGGGATTCTAACATCTGACTTGATAGTACTGGGTTGTGTTCGCTTTCCTGACTGTTATTGAGAGCGCCATCAGCGCCGCTTACTGGTTCCGTATGTGCCCACAATATGCCAATCTTATCACTATCTTACTAACTGATCGCAGCCTTCTACTACATCTTCAAGTTCGTCCTGATCATGTGGATGGCTCTTCCCCAGACCAGGTATGTCCCTACCTCGTGACCAAATTGAGACCAGCAGCTGACCTCTATCACAGCGGTGCCCAAATTGTCTTCCACTCCTTCCTCCAGCCCGTGGTTGGCCGTTTCTTCTCCACCAACGGTACCTCCTCCAACCTCCGCGCTCAGGCCGAGGCTGCAGCCAAGCCCCACTCCACCTAAGGGGTGTAGTCTTACCTCTTAGCTGAGAATCGCATCGACAATAAAAGCTCCGTGGAACCTGCTTTGGCGCGGGTCGCGGATCCGATTCTCTATGCCCGGTGGGTACTAAGCACGAAGTGAAGCGGTTGGCTTAAAGCTTCGTTGCTATGATTAAATAGGAGCAGTGCAATAGCTGGAACATGAAATAGAGAGGACCCGAGAAATGTTGCGACGGGTCCGTGGTTGGATATTCGCTGAATATGAGAATGTTTGTCTTGGTTCTTGCCATTTTGTTACACTTGAGTGGTTTAGTTGCTTAGTTCGTACATTGTCAATGGGGATGCAGTTATTTTCAGATGTTGGAGATCTACGTGATCTACATGTATCTTATTTAGGGTGCTGCGCTATGCGCTATGCGCCGTCGAGGTTCATCCCCGCGTATGTTACACAAGTAAGGATCCCCGGGCCAAGCTACACAAGCTACAGGTTCGCATGGCAGCCCATACTATTTCATACTCCATACATGTTGCATCAACAGCACCACTGGGCATTGTATGACCCTATGACCCTCTCAAAACATCGCGCGTAGCCATCTTCGTAAGTACTTCTGATAATTTCACACATCTCTTTAATCCGATCAGCAAGATAGTTCTTCTCAATATGCATCTTACGACTATTCTTCATCAAGAATCCTCTGGCTCGCCCAGGTGCACAAATCTACCATGTTCAACAGCGTATTCCAGGGTTAAAGCTCAAAGCACCTTAATGGACCTCGAAATAGTCCGACGGCAAACCGACATTGACCTACCTCGTTCCGTTCCGACAGTGACAGCTAATCGGTGCTAACAAGAATACCCCCCACCACCCTTCTTCGAAGAAGATTCCAGCACTTCTTGCAGGTTGCGGAGCTCTTCAGCATGCAAGTTAGAATCGTCATACTTCCGGGCCATGTCAAAATCTACCAAGATAGCTCTCCAGTCCCGGATCAGGAAGTTGAACCGATTCACATCACTATGCTTAATCCCCAAAGCATGTAACTAAGTGAGAGTCTGCTGGCAAATATCGAGGTCCATCGGCCCAGCATGTCGTGCATTGGCGATACGTTCCATCAAGAGTACAATCACACAACCATCTTCAGTGAGATGTCCCAGGAACCGGGGCCCAATGTCATCATCCTCAATCAACCGGTCAATCAACCGGTCAATCAACCGATAGCCAGCAGTCTCGCCCTCCATGTATTCAATTTCCAAATCGAAGCCCGCAAACTTGAGGACGATAAGTTTCTCAAATTGGGGACATTGGACTTGGTAAACGCCCGTTTGAAGTCTCCTGCTCTCTCCATGAAATTAACAAAGGAATTATGCCATGTATTCTGAAGTCCTGGGAACGAAGGTCGAGTAGCGCGTGCAAAGCATGTCTCGCCAGTTTCTGGGTATATGTTTATTAGCCCATCATTCCAATCGCCTACAAGAAGATGGAGAATCGTGGCTACAGATGGACCGAAGCACATATAATCTGTGCTTTAGATACCTTAGGCAATGGTGATATACCTTACTGGCCTGTTGATCAAAAGTCGGAAATAGCTTTCGCCGTAATTTCGGCTTCTGCTAGGAGCAATTTGATGCTTCTTTGGTCCTGCATTGGGGTGTTGGCACACTGCATGGAGGGGCAGTTGTATCTGCGGCTAATTATCGGGTGTTGGGAGATCAAGTGGAATATTATTGGCCCAGTGGTACCAATTTGCTTACAACTTGCAGGCTTTCATGCAGGGTGTAGCTCCCATAGAATGTGTTTTGTGGAGTGCTTAATGACAAATTCCGCATGGTCTGGTTGAAGAGACGTTGTACACCGAAATCACACACCTCTCTGGTCCTCGTGAAAGATAAATAGATGCAGGATATTTGCATTGATTTTCGTAATTGAGTTAAAAAAAAAAAAAAACAGCTCCATATGTACTTACGCCACATTGTAAAAAGACCCAGCCCAGCCCTTTCAAGAATCCCAAAAAAAAATTAAACACCTAAGTACTGAACTCCGTATGGCCATCGCTTGAAAGTTCAAGAACAGCACATGAGGGTTTCGTAGGCTCGTAGTAATAGCCCTTTTTATAATATCTGACAGACTTCGTAAATCGTATCGGGGTCGATCGCCCGTGGCCATGTTCCATTGAAGGAAATAAAAGCAACGTGTCCGGTTGGTTGAACAATGATCGGAGTGGGAACGTATCGGACTTGACGATTCCAAGTATCATAGTATCGTCCAAGATCTTAGTCAAACCGCATAGCTCAGTAGAGCCCCATGCGATTACCCCAGCCGTCAGCGCGAGGGTTGACGACAATCCGATAGGGGAATGGGTTGGAATCGCTAGTAGTGATGGGTGGGATATGGTCTTTATCTCTATTGACCACGCTCAAGATTTTCAAGGCTGCCTTTTGCAACATATTTCCCATTGCCTTGCGCACCTTGGCTCGTTCTATACCCAAATTAGCTCTGGATAAAGGGATCCGCAGACTGTACATACCGGACTCAGTGCGCGGTGTTGCGATCGTCACATCAAGTGTCCAAATCTCCCAGCACACTTCTTCCTCGCCTTTCGCTGTTAATCCGCCAAACCAGTGCCCCGAGCGACGCCGTTTCTTCTCGTAGAACTCGATTGCGATCCGCCCTCGCACGCCCCCGCCCCCTCCGACAATTTGACCATCCTGCCCGCCGGCTGCGGAGGATAGGTGCTGCCGGACCAGAGCCGATATACGCGATTCAATCAGTGTCTCTAGATCTGCATCGTTTATAGCGGGGAGTGTGAAATCGAGCACGTCAAAGGTGACCGGCCGGATAGAAGGGAAGTAACGGTGGAAGAAGATGAGGTTGAGGACACCTGGCAAGAACCACTATTCAGTAAAAACATGATTATGGTGTCTCCAGCTCACGACTAACCCTTCAATACATCTCGCACATGGGTGGTGTCGGCGAAGATCTCCAGGAAGTACTCCGGAGGGGTTTTGCGGGGCTCCATCCCCGCCATGACGCAGCTCGCAACCAAGCCGGTTGGGGTTGGGTGCGGACTCAGGCGGCTTTTGTTGATAGAAGGGGGAAAGTATTGCCGTAAATACAGAATGGAGGAATAGTCAGTAAGCAGGTTGCTGCATAGAGCTGGAGGGATGTGAGGTGGAGTGATGACTCCAAGGCTAATATGGCAAGGGGGGCGGGCCTGTATCGGACGTAGCCGACTGAAGCTTATCGCTTATCATCGAACTGGGGGAAACCAGTTTGAAAGAGAACGCTTATGTTGAAGAAGTACGGAGTGTACGGAGTATGCGGAGTATATAAAAGAGCAATGAGAAGAGAAAGAACAAGAAAGAGGCAGACAGGGATTAGCGGTTTGTTGCGGGATGGCCATGCCAAATCCGGGGGAGAGCTCTAATGTGACACAATAATTGATAGTTTAGAGGAATAAGAAGATATATATATGTACATGGTCAAATATCTAGATCATTTAGTATGTTTGCAGGTACTTTTAATCCTATGTGGTGCTTTATAGGTCCGGTTCACTCTTGCATGACGGTGAGCTCTAGCCGAGGCCTGAAACTGGCGATCAGCGCCCGAAGCCTCTCTTCCCCATCTACTCCGTACTGAACCATCCATCTCCTGGATCTATCATGATTTGAAATTGCCTATTATTTTTACCTTCTTCCTAGAGAAGCACCAAACACAATTATGATCGGTGCGACGAGGCGCTGGTTCCAGCGCAATCGCAAAGGTCTTGCAATCGGGGCTGGGGTGATAGGAGCCGGCTACTTAGCCGGACAATATGTGCTATCCAAGATCTCCGAGGCACGGGAGCGCATGAGCAGCGATCGGATTGCTCGCGAAAAGTGAGTTTCCCTTGTTTTTGATGACTCTCATCCTTCTGCTAGCAAGCACGCGAGCTTGTGGCGCGTGCAACCTCGACCAGAATACCCTTAACCGGAATCACTGACCATGGCAATAGTCTGCGCCGACGATTCGAACAAAACCAAACCGATTGCACATATACTGTCCTTGCCTTGTTGCCGACCGCCGCCGAGAATATTATCGATGCTCTCCCGGTTGAGGAGTTGACCAAGGAGCTGCAGCAAAAGCGAGCCGAGAGGTTGGCTCGACTGAATGCAGGCGAAGCAACTGGATCAGATCTGAGCTCAGTAGCCCCGAGTCTGCCAGACGATGATCGGAGAAGCCTTTCCAGTTTCCAGAGTGAGGGATATGTGCACGCCAGTCAGATTGGGGACTCTGCTCTGAGTTCCGACGGACAACCTCGGCCCAAACGGAACAAGACACAGCTGTGGAATGAGGTGAAGATTACCTGTGAGTCTTTATTGCAACCAAAATGAACCTCGTCTGTTAGAAACTAACGTTTTCTAGCTGTCACTCGGTCTTTTACTATGGTCTACACTCTCTCCTTGCTCACCGTCTTCACTCACATCCAACTTAACCTACTCGGCCGCCGGAACTACCTGTCTAGCGTGATCTCCCTTGCTACACCACCTGCCAACGCCTCGACAATCAGTCTTGAAGACCACGATGATGAGCTCACTCAAACATTGGGCGATGACTTCGAGACCAACCGACGTTACCTCGCCTTCAGTTGGTGGCTACTTCACCGCGGGTGGAAGGACGTGATGGGAAGGGTGCAAACTGCAGTCGAGGAAGTATTTGGACCTTTAAACCCACGTGAGGATATCAGTTTGGCCAAGCTCTCTGAGTTGACCTTGCAAATCCGAAAGAAGGTGGAAGGCAACACCGAGGACGAGCGACGATCTCAAAAATGGCTTTCTTGCTTGCTTCCCCCGGCAGAGGAAGAGGAACATGTCTTACGCGAGTCGGGTGTGGAAGGCGTAGCTGACCCCTCCTCTTCCCAGACAGCGTCGAAGCTGCGACACCTCCTAGATGAGACAGCAGATTTGATCGACTCGCCCTCTTTCTCCCTTGTCCTTACACTTCTTAACAACGAGGGATTCTCAACCCTTATCGATCAAAGATGTGCTGCCGATGCCTTCAAGGCGCCCACCTCCGCACCGGAGACTGCTCTGCAATCCTTCGATTCAATTGCCACCGTTGTGCCTCTGGCGGCCAACTCCGAGCGGAAGACAAAGCTTGCCAACCTCCTAGCTGTCATGACTCGTCAGGCACATGTGATTGGCAATGGTACCCACCCACCAAATGAGTATCTGGTCGCCATGGACCAGAACGTGCGAGAGCTCGAGGCCTTCTCTGCCGTGGTATATAGCTCGAACTTTGACCTCGAGCTTCTTGGTGCTAAGAACAACGCCCTACCGACCAGGGATACAGATCTAGTCGATAATGAAACTACTTCGTCATCTTTTTCCCAGGTGATAGTTGAGAAGGAAGTTGAAGCCGATTTAGAGGAGATCATTGAGTCACAACCACGCAGTGTCGTGCCCAATGAGCCTGCCTTCAATGAGCCTGAGCCTGAGCCTTTGGCGGATTCAGCCTTCGAAGAGGCTTGGGGCAAGGCCACAGATGATGGGAACACCTCCCCAACAGAAGAAACCCAACCAACACAGTAAGGCAATGAAGAAATCTTCAAGCTTGATGGCGATTTGTGTGATTCTCTCTATAACCCTACACTTTTGTTTTTCGCACATCGCTCTGGACCTGGTTTCTATTTCCTCTGCATACATTATCTTTGCGATAGAATTAATGTATGCTAATGATGTATGCCAATTCAATTGTCTATTTCTAGTAATATTTTTCATATACATTCCCATCAGTATTTTTCTACAACACAGAATGCGCCATGGTTTAGCAAGCACACCAAATTGTATGATCTTATACCCCAGACCGAAGTAGACTAGTGTTGGTGGAGCCGCCGGGGCCCTATGCTTGGGGATAGTGGCGCTGAGACACATATAAGGATGCTAGGACTTCGCCGAGTGAGATTATGGGGCCATATTATGTATCTGCAAATAAAAATCTGGGATAGCAGAAGATATGTGCTGGACATATCCGCTAATACCGCTAGTCTCGGACTACAACTTGTGACATGCAGATATAAATTTTCTGTCTACAAGGTAGTTCATACATAGTTCATACTAGTGTCGTATGTCACAACTTGTTTATTTTTCCCCACCATCACAATAGTTTCCGTCTTCGGCGCTTGTGCCTCATTCTGAATGTCAATGTCTCATCAGGCACAGGCACTTTTCCTTTGTCGCTTCGTTAAAAACGCGGATACGATGAAACATCTTGACGTCACGACTATATCCTTTTTCCTATTGCAGCCAAGGTTGCGAGGTCCACCAATGAGCTAATACAGCCCACTTGTGTGGCGCAGCTGTCTCCGTTGTTTTTGTCGCGCAATTGAAATTTTAGCGTATTGAACTACCTCCATGGTATGGCCTAAGTTGTTTTGTTGGAACATATGTGTTGACGTTCCACTTTCAAGGGGGTTTTTGACCGTTTTTAACCGAAGGGGTTGGAGCGTCACCTTATGTCCTTTCCAGGCTTAGTCCAATTATGCATCAACAATGTCCGAGAAGAATCAGAGCCATTGGCTGATGAGTACCCCCAATGGGAATATTACCCCCGGCTATTTTGAGATTCCATCTGCATGACAAAAGTTCTCTTCCTATTCCAACGCTCCCTCGCAGGGTGGTATACCCCGCATTGTGCGATGGAACGAACTCCAATGATTAGCCCGCTGTCATCGGTCCTGCTCTTTATTATATGCATGTTTCAACCTGGGGGTCTTGGGAACATGTATATAGAAGCTTGCACATCTCATAATAAGGAATGTTGCCCTTATCTTCCGAGGATATGTAGCTTATATGCAATTAAAGTCCAGGCAAGCATTTGAGCAATATAGCACACGCGGCAGTCCCCACTCATATGATCGTTCTGCCTATCAAAGAGCTCTCGAGCATCGATATTCCCTCAAACGAAGAACCAAAAAAAGGACCAGGTCTTGTCGAAGATAATAGAAGTTCCAGAACGCTGGCAAGAATTTCCTCGCCTCTACTGGGGACGACATGTGGAGGAGTCGAGCCAGGTTCATCCCCATATCAGCCAGTGAATCCGACGAGACAGACGTCGTAATAGGCCATCTAGTCCGATCCAATCTGCGCCAGCATTATGCACTTTTCGCAGGAGTAGTAACAAATTACCACCAACTTGAAGTTGCTCCGAGTCTCAGACATCAGCCGCTATGCCACCATCTCCGAATTCTCGCTTAACCCAACAGTCCTAGGAAACGAGCCGCTTGTAACAGGAACAACGACCTACCTGACTGTAGGCCCTAGAATATGGGAGAACATGTGGGCACTGTGGACTAGGATTGTTGGCAGCGTACCTGCGTGTCTTATTGGGGTTACGGGCGGCTGGATGGTGGAGCCGGTTGACGGCTGCAGCCCTTGTTAGGTGGTGGTGTACGTTGGCTGGGAGAGTCTGGGGGTCCACGACTCGTACCTACTACTATCACACCAAGTACTCCGTATATCCGCCGTTATCTTCAGTGAGAATGAATAACCAAGGATTCCGCGAATATGACCATATTGCTTTCAGGCATTCACGTGCTCCGTGGGAGGCGAATTTGTATTGGCACGTCAATGTAGCATTGATCCACGAGAAAAAGGCCTATGAAATAAGTAATGACGAAATTTTGAAAATGAGAGCTGGAGAGAGACAACCATTTGAAACATCTTAAATCCTGAACCTTGAAATGTACGGAGTAATATACCGTATTTTGCACGAAATAAGTTACCCAGCCTCATGTGTGGCTGAGCCAAGTACTCCACCCGCTAAATTGTGTGGGAAAGTACTTCCTCCGCCGTGTTCCGTATCATCCAATCACTTAACTCTACCAAGGAACCGCCGGTCAAAGTCCTCAAGGTTTCCCCCGATCTGCCCTCCCCTTTAAGACCTGCCCATCCCGACTATTCCTCCACATTCGACATTTATTGGCAGACTGCAGGACTGTTGTGTGCTTTGTAATTTTCCGCTTTCACTTCAGTCCCCGAGATTGCCTACCGATTGAGTTATAGGACTTCGTGTGCCTTCCTACCCCATCGCCCTCGCCTCAAAACTACCCCGAGAATCAGCCCGAAGATCAGCCCATTGCACAACTACAACACCTTGGTGTCGCTACATATTTAAAGCCTCTATTCTCGGCCTTCCGCTTAAAACCCCCCAAACGGGACTGTGGCGGCTGCATACTGCAGTGGGCGCTGAGGCCGCATTATCTCCCTATCCGTCAGCCGCGCGCATCAGAAACGCAGCCCTTCAAGTCATCATCACGAATCAGCATCCCATATCCTGAAATAACCTCCAGCGCACTCCTGAGCAAACCGAACTCCTACAACAGCGGCCCCCCACATAGGAAATTTAAGGCTGGTGTGCTCTTCCGCCCAACATGACGGACTTTCGAATGCCCCTCCACCAAGGGCCTCCTGCCCGGAAGCCCCTCTCTGGTGCCCAGCACGGGTATGGCGGGTATCAATCCTACGATTCTTCACGACCCCAACTTGCGCCCCATCTAGCGAGCCCCCAGACCACGCACAGTCGGACTCGAACCACATCCTCCAACGTGTTGCCCTACTCAAGCGGCTCGCAGCACTACCACGGCGCTCCCCCCGCCACCTCCTATTCCTCAAATGACTCTTCCTCCTCACCCACCCTCTCGACGCATGTCTAGCACCACTACCTCGACCTCGTCCACCGGCAACCACCCGACGGTACATGCGGGGCATGGTGTTTCTGACATCCGGCGAACCGCCTCGTCTCGCTCTGCCAACTCTCAGCTTGGATATGTGGCCCTCATGCGGCGGCAAAAGGCCACCGTCTGGTGTGACCGGGCACAGCCCGAGGACGCCAGATCCCGCGAACAAGCCCTGCGGGACAAGAAGAGAGCGTACCTTGAAGTTCATGGCGCTGGCCGGTCAGGAACCTTGGCTAGTGGCAAGATCCGACATGGTCCTAAGGGAGCTGCTGAGTTCTCGCCCTCAAATCTAGTCGGCGCAAAGGTCCCCGTGCGATTGAGTGCGAACGAGGTCGGCGATGGGGATGAGGACACTCTCAGCAGTGATGGTGGCGCAATTCACAGACGAACCGGCAGCGGCCGCAGCTCTCTGGGAAGTGCCCACCGTTACCCGAGTGGATACTCGCGGCCACAAGGAACGATGGGCAGCAACAGCACGCCCCCGAACGAGAAGACTGACCTGCCAGAAGTGTCTGAAAATACGCCCGCGGAGATGCACGAAGAAGAGAAGAGCCGACTGTCATCTCTCCACAAAGATGATACCGCAACAACACACAGCAGCGAGCACGAGCAAGACGACTTTGTTGGTGACATGCAGGCTCCGAGCGCCGCCACTGCGGCAGCCGAGAAAGCCAACAGGGCAGCCGAGCTGCGACGACGAGGCAGTGTGGACGAGCGAACTACTACCATGACCAATGTGCGACTTTTCGTCGCAAATCCCGATTCAGACAGTGACTGAGGCTCTGTTCTCATTCAGCGTCTGCCAACTCTTTCGTCCTTCATCTTCTTATATCCCGCTTCCTTCTATCCTTTATGATTTCTACATGATTTCTACGTGATTTCTCTTAACGCCTCGTCAATTGCACATAATACCTATCTCGTTGCAACTCCACACCTGGCCCCATTCGGCAAATCTTGATGGTTTAGACCAATGCGTCCTCCTGCTTTGTCTATATCTTTGCACGTTTGCTGTCTGATTTACACCTTTTTATTCAAAGCGCTGCATCTCTGTTTTTCTTCAGGCTTTTTTTATATTTTTTTTTTGGCTGTATATCCTCGATGGCACTGCTGGTCTCTATAGATTGGCTCTGGCTTGACTTTGTCCTTTTGCGGCTGCATACGGGGCCATCCTGGCGTTGGTTATCTGGCCTAGCTTTTTTTTAATTTAGAGATAGCAATTTCACCCCAAAGGTTATCTCAATTCGTCTCGCACTTTGGATAAGATCCGTGAGGTGATACTATATGGTTTTGGTTGCAGGTTCGTTGCCGGTGCATAGAGCAGTGCAAGGTAATTGAACCACTATCGTAGCAAAATGACTTGAGCGGTTTGAAAATATTGAAGTACAAAACATCACACTCATTCTATATTGATCTTGGGGGTCCAAAATGATACCATAAATTGTATAATACTGAAGACCCCAGACAAAATGGTCCTGGAATGTCTACTTGGGCACTTGCCCAGGTGGGCAGTCCGAGGGCACGTAGAGTGTTTACATAATCACACACGTGCTTATCGGTCGCGAGCGCGAAACGATTAACGCGTCCCAGTCTTGGCCCACTGTCACTGCTCTACTCCGTATGTTCATTAAACAGCGAAGTTAATACCCTGTTATTGAAGATCAGTTGTCTAATTTGAACGACGTCTGATTTTTGTCTCTCCCTGAGTCCCGCTTTCCCTTGGGCGACCCGACCTAAACCACATATGAACTGAAGTCGCGATCTATCACACGACAGCCTGTTCCCATTCCCCCTTCCCTCACCACCTACGCTCCTACAACTTCAACTTCTTAACCAGCTCTTTCAAACCACCCTGGAGTCAATGGTACCCAGTACATCTCTATCGCCGATGCAGCCGGTCCTGTCATTTCCCGCATCACCTTCGTCCGGTTCTCGAAAACGCTCCATTCACGAGATTGATGATGCCAACCCCCCTTCACCAAATGCGAAGCGACCATTAACCGAGTTCGCTGGCGAAAACCAAGAAAATCGCGATCCATCTCTCTCCTCCCAATCCGACGACACTACTTCCCCACCTGTTGAAATCAAGCGTAATCTTCCACCTCCCCCCTCGGTCGAAATCGTGATGAGACGGACACCACGTAAACTAAATGAAGCTGGTGCCGGGGGATTGACGCCTCCAGGCACCAATGCTACTTCCAATCCTGAGCCTGATACCCCAGCCTCTAAGAAACGCAAGGTAGTCTCTACTGGTACAGATTCCAAGCAACAAGAAAAAGAAGCCAAAGAGCGCCAGAAGGCCGAGGAGAGGGCGAAGAAGGAAGAGGAGAAGCTGAAGAAAGAGGAAGAGAAGGCTAAGAGGGAAGAAGAGAGGCGCCTCAAGGCGGAGGAAAAGAAGAAGCGCGATGCCGAGCGCGATGAGGAGAAACGACACAGAGAAGAAGAAAAGCGGAAAAAGGATGCTCAACGTGAAGAGGAGCGTAAGCAGCGTGATGAGAAGAAGAAGGCAAAGGAAGACGAAAAGGCCGCCAGGGAAGAAGAGAAGCGTAAAAAGGACGAGGAGAAGGAGAAGAAGACCCGAGTAAGCGACATCCACGATCGTCCTAACATGAAGAGGCCTATATACTAACGATTCAGTCACAAATGAAACTGAACTCCTTCTTCACCAAACCGCCGGTACCTTCCGCTCCATCAGGACAGGTGATCACGGCCCCTTCGCCTAAGAAGGCGTCTACCACCTCCGATTCCTCTCGCGAAACTTGTGTCGTGCAGTCAGATTATGAGCGAGAGTTTCCTGCTTTCTTTCTGCAATCTCATACAGTCGTGGCACCTCCCCATCAGTTTGAGCGTGACTCTGAGGCCCTCAAGCACGTACGGGAAATGATTGATAAAAGCTTACGCAACGAAATCCCAGCCCAGACACATCCGTTCCGTCCATCGGAAGTGTTTCAAATAATTCCCTTCCGTCGTGGGCGTCAGCCAACGAGCTCTGTCAAGGACATACTATTGCAATTACAACGATCTGACGATCCGACTCAGCCTCAAAACCAGAGCATAATGCAATCTTTGAGGCCACAAGAACTTCTTCGCAATGTTACAATGAAGTCCCTCAAGTTTGGCGAGGACATCCGCCCCCCTATCAGGGAACTTATACCCGTCCCGTGTCCGAGTTATCCTCGAGGAGACTTGCGCGAAATCCCTATCACAGAGGGCTACCGGATACCGATTATGATTATGATTCCGAGGCGGAATGGGAGGAACCCGAAGAAGGCGAAGAGCTGGACTCTGAAGAAGAAGATGAAGGCAGTGATGAGGGCGAAGATGATCTCGAGGGTTTCCTGGATGACGAGGATGATGCTCTTGCTGAAGGCAAACGTCGTCTCATCGTTGGTGATTTAGAGCCTGTCTCTACTGGAATTAAGTGGGCTACCGATGTAGTCGACCCTGAAATGGAGTCCTACCGGATGCAGACCATATCCGATGCGGTCAAGTTCCCCATCGATCCCTTCTCGGCTGTATACTGGGAGAAACCCAAGCCTGTGGATCCAGTACTTGCGAAGGCGCGACCCGCGACAGCCATAGACGGCTTCCTTGTTCCTACAGTCCCTAGAGCAGTGGCGGCGAGCAGTGCTTTACCTCCCACATCGAAAGCGAAACGGCCATTCCCACCAGACCAACTTGCTGAATTTAAGGAAGCAGTTGAAGGCAGTGATCTCAGTAAGATTGGGTTGGTCGAGATCTTGAAGAAACGGTTGGTTCCCACCATATCCGCTTTTTTTTTTGGAGTATATGCTAATCTAGATGTATCTAGATTCCCCAAGGTGTCCAAGGATACACTCAAAGCCACCCTTGACCAGGTAGCTGCTCGTGTTGGACAAAAAGAAGTTGACAAGAAATGGGTTTGTCGGTGATAGTATGACGGATTTCCCCTACACGAGTACCTATGAACGGAGTTTGGGTGTACCTCAGCATTTGTAATGCCATTATGAACGATTCACCTACATCGTGATCAAACATATTTGCCTTTTTTTTGGTTTTAAGAGTCGGGGTATCCCGGGTTAGCTGCATGAAATAAATGCCGGTTGTGTCGTAGTACGATGTATATAAGCCAGGACAACATCCTTGCATGTGCCCAGGTGAGCAAGTTGCCACTCTTATGACATGTTAATCGTATTTCCTCAGATCTTAGCCCCCAGTGGCGATTTAATAGGCCATCGGATTCTATACTTTTTATGTTGTACATATGTGTAAAATATAGGGTCGAACACGTAAGAGAGATGTACACGTCTATAAAATCTGAGGGGCGCATGAGGGGCGCATGGACACCTCATTCCTGCACTGCCAACGCATCGTCTCGTTGTACTCGGTACCTGATCCTTTTACCTTCTTAGCGTATTTCTTCCAAGTCTTTTCTACTTGGCTTTTAGCACTTTTGTAGTCTGCAACTGTCCGTTTCGAGGATTCTTTTTTGCTCTCTCTATTATAATCCCTCTTGTTTTATACTCCGGGTTTCATTAGTTATTTTTACTTTGATTTTAAAACTCCCATCTCCCCTCCTTGTTTTGATTTTTTTTACCCTCTCTTTTCCCCCGCCTTTTCTTCCCACACATTCATCCTGGAAGCCAACAGTTCATCCGATCGAGTGCATCGTCACTCTGAGAACCTGTGTTTCGTTTCAGAATGCGATAGGAATTCGTCGGCTAGGGGGGTTTGCGACTGTCTGTTAATGGCAAAATGGTAGAACACCAAGAGGATCATTATTCCTCTTTGCATTCTATAACCAGTACGTCATTATATTTATTTTTCGCGCTTTTCTCCCTGATATGGGGTTGGGACGTGGAAAGAGGGGTGCTCCTATCGTTATACCCCCTTATTATGATTGCCGCCCAATCTAACCAGCTTCAGCCGAGCAAATACCTGATTTCCCCAAGCTTAATACACCATGTGACTTGTCGCATCGGGCGCAAGATCCCACATCTGTGCCTTTACCTCCTTCGCCTCCGAGTTCGCCAGCCATGTCCGCACTTGAATCTTCGTTGAACGTGGGGCTAGGTGAGTTGGGTGGCTCGGCCCGTGCCAGTCCCAAGGTAGAAGCCGCTCCCTCCAATGGACACAATCCCGGACCCGCGACGGCTTCCGCGTCGATACAGGTACCTGTACCAGTGAAAGATGTCCCCCAAATATCATTCGAGGATTTCGCCACTCGTTACCACCAGAACCAGCGCAAGCAGGCCCAAAGGAAGCGATTGGAGAAGCGCCTGCGTGCCACTAAGGTCTCCATTGGTGTTTCTGCGCGTATGGTTCGTGTCGGGCTGACTGCACAGCGAGGTCTTGTCGAAGCTCTCCGCCATGATGACAAGGCCAGTTTCGTTGCTCTTTACCATACACTCCAAGACCTCCAGGAATCATGCGCTTCGCCTGCTTCCAACGATGGCCAAACAGACTCCATGGACGGGGAGCCATCCTTGGGAACTGACATTGGCCATTTCCCGGATTTCCTTCATCAGTTGAGCCCTCAGTCCCGGACGGACTTTTTGGAGATTTTGCGGCTGGTCCGTTCTAATCCCCAGTTTTTGGTCGACCGGCTACAAAGCTTGTCTCCGGCCCAATTGGCTGCTTTTACTTCCCCTGCCACTGCTTTGGATACCAATGATCCCGCGTTCCCGTCTACATCCCGTGCTCGGGTCCAGTCTTTCTTAAACAGGAGCCAGTCTCAGTCCGCGGCTTTCAAGGACCACGCATATGCCTTTGAGAGGACTGACCCATTATCTGTACTTCTTTTTAACGTTTTTGCCGCTCCTCTGGACCCAGAGACGCCTGAATCCCGCTTGCGTATGGAAGTGTGGTCATCCGTCTGCGCTCAACTAATCTCCAACGGAAGTAGTAAATACTATCCTCTGGTCGGCCAGATCCTTTCTTCTTGGACTACCGGCAGCACTTGGAAAGCCCGTTCCAAATTTGAACTCTACCTAATGGACATTTTACAAACCGGTGCTTTTCTCCTAGAACCTATACCCACACCACCCGGACAGGATTTTGCCATGGATTCCCTGGACCCCATGCGAACGGATGTTGCAGAGGAATTCTTTGCTTCTGCCGTGGATGACTTATTCCGTGTACTTGATGACCCAGACGGTGGTTTCCCTCATGCCGTGCTACAGTTCGCAAAGGCCGTTTTGCGCAAGCTGGATAATGCCGAGACCTGCAGTCGCTTCTTGGAGTTTTTATTCCTCCAGTGGTTCTTTCCAAAGTTCCTCTATCGCGCATTAACGTATCCTGAGGTATATGAGCCTCTAACCCTTGGTGAACTCGCAAAGCTGACTATAATCTGCTTTTGCTATAATAGACCCACGGTCTTCTCTTAGACTTCCATATCAGAAAGGATGCCCGCGAGAAACTGTTGAACCAGGTTGGGCATCGTGCCTACGCTCAAGTATTTGCTGTTTTGCGTTCAATGTACGTTGTCCTAGATTGAACTCTCTGCAGATTTCGACACGTTGCTGATATCTTCAAGGCATCATTTCTCAATCCCTCGTCCGATGATCAAGGCCCGTGTTGAAAACATGCTTTCTCGGTTCGATAACACGATGCCGGAGGCATCGATTGACCCTTCTATTTCCTCTTTACAGGCACCACTTCCTCATCGACGAAAGTCTCCTTCAACTTTCCTGATGATGTCTGCTTTGGATGTTCTCACACTCCTAGACACTCTTTTCCAACAGAACCCCTCTTCTTTGCATTCCTCGCCAGCCTCTGCTGGTGTTCATTCTTGGCCATCCAGTCCGCCACCATCTATCAACCTTCGGCCAGACTCACTGATGGATTCTGCATTCGCTCGTTTAAAGCACGACACAGGTTCAAAACCTACATCACATAATGGTTCCATATTCTCAGTGGAAACTCAATCTATCCCAGCACCGGAAAATAGCTTGTCTGAAAAGGCCGCTCGCATTCGATTCGAGCTAACTGATTTAGATCATCCTAATGAGCGGTTGAGCTTAGAGCACCCCTCAGACGAGCATTGGACCATCTTCTCTGTTGCAGCCGACGGCCATGGCTTAACTTGGAGCCTCCTCCCTGATAGTAGATATGAAACCTCCAAAGGCCCGATAATTGAAAGTGAAGATGACGCACACTCCACGACGCTAGGACTGGAGGAAAATCATGAAGCATTACAGACAGCGATCATTCGACTTGTCAACGAGAACCGCATTCAAGACGCGGGTGATTATGGGTTCCTTTCACAGAATACTGCGCAGCCAGCTGCCATGTCCTTGAAGCAGCGGTTCAACGAAGCCATGTTCTGCTGCCATCATGAGTCTGATTTTGTTGGTGCGCACTACTGGTGGAATGCTTCACAGCAGCTTGGACAACGAGGAACGCCTAGCTCATCGAGGACCACGGATGATTCGTGGATCCTGGGCCCGATGCATGAGAATTACACCCGTTCACTGATTCAATCACGAGGTGTCATCGAACGGTGCGAGAGTGACTTCGTGTCTCTCGATCACAGTCTCCGCCGACTCCAAACTCAAGTCAAAGACATGACGGCCACATTTTGCAAGATCCGAGACAAGATGTGGTACATGAACGACGTTAAGAACTCTATCAGATATGAGGAGGCTAAACACGTGGCTATGGCTTTGAAAACGATGATCTACTCAGCCCGGCTCTTCAACCAGTTCCCCGAAGAACAGCGTTCTCGTTACGGGGCAAGGTCTTTGAGTGGCTCATTGTTCCAGAAACCCGAAGTGCAAGTTATGAACATGATGAAGGCACCCAGTAGCCAAGGTGGACCGAATAAGCTGTCTGACGAGCAAGTTGAGCTGACTCAGAAATGGCTGTCGCACAACGGAATCGACAATTTCTGCAAGGGAGAAGAAAGAATTCATCGATTCTGTTACGAGGTCCGAATGAGCATCAATAAATTGGTGGGTGAAACGATGAGCGAGACGCCGGTGTTATGGGCAAGTGAGCTTTTCCAGACAGAGCGCTCAAAGTTTGAAGGTTATGGCTCTCGCACATTCCCTGGAATGTCGATGCCTAGTACGCCTCGGCCCTCGACGACCACAAGTGAGGACACAAATTCCGCGTCCCACTTCTATGGTGCCAATATGCCTATGCCTGATCCTATGTCTCGTCTTTCTCAAGATACCCCATCATTGGGTCGCAAGCCCTCTATCCAAAGTATAATCTCCGATAAATGGAGACCTCAGCGTGACTTGCCTTCCATTGACATGTCCTCTATCGGAGGTTCACCTGGCCGTGCGGCGTCGATATCGACCGGTGACACCTACAGTACATTCTGGTCTGCGCCCCAGCGGTACCCTATGTATGCCGCAAGTGCGTCAAGCGTGTACTCGCGACCACCGTCTATGTTCAGTGAGACTGCAACCCGTCACCCCCGTCGTGTTGAACGCAAGACACACGGGAAGGCAGTGTTCATGGATGGCTTGAGACAGACACTGACTAGTCTGCTTTTGAGTGATCTGGGCTCCCCAGTATGGAGTTGTGGTAGTGAAACCGACGCCTGGTTTACCAATGCGCTGGACCAGAAACGCATTCAGGTGGAAATGCGCCGACGGGCCGCTGTTCAGAAGTTCTACGTCGATTATGAAGAGCGCTCCAAGCATCTTGGTCAGCAGCGTGGTTCATTGAAAGGTCGCCGGAGCAGGTCTTTGGACAACCTACGTGAATCTCAACACAAAGCTCCTCGTGTCGAGGCCTCGTCGCAGCTACCGCAAGCATTTTTGGAATCGGACGGGCAGTCGGCCTTTTCATACAAGGCAGTCTTCCACCGGCTAATCGAAGTGTTCTCGCGTCACGGAAATCCCTTTGTAAAGCTCAACGCGTTGCGGGATCTACGTTCGTTGGTGGTTGCATCGCTCATTTCGCCACAAGATGCCAATTCCCCGATTACTCTCAGCTCCTCCCCGGGAGAAGGTGACAGGATGCGGAGCAGTCCTCAACTCCATCGGGCCAGCCGCCACAGTTTCTCTGAGGTTCGGCCCAACAACCTGCCACAGATGGACCCAGTACTACCGTCTTCTTCTCCTCCCGAGTCAGTCACCTATGGCTCCCGACGATCTGACTACTCCACTCCTTCAGAAGCACAGATTGTAGCAGCCTTGCGCGATCTGATCCTAGAAGTGAAGCCGAAGACCCTTTTCAGGGACTTGCAATTTATCTCAGCGTTCGTCCCGGGGGATCAGCTAAACAAGACGGACCGCGGGACAGCATTCCTCCAATTCGGTCTGGCCGCACTAAGCCTCAAAGAAGAGATCTGCCACAGCATGGTCGAGATCGCCGACCGAATCGTCTTCCAGGAGCTCTCCCGTCGCCATCCCCCCTTCGCCTCGGACTTCCAATCCCGCCCCGGCCATGCTATCCAAGATGCAGCGGGAATGTGGATCATCACTGCTAAAGAGGGTAACCCAGTCGCACAGCGCGAACTTGCAATCCTTTATCTGACTCACCCGGAGCTTCTCCCGCGCGTGACACTCCCTCTGACCCTCCCGCGGGATACCTTCAAGGCGGAGATGATGTATCGACGAGACAAGGACTCTAAATCGGACCCGCAGAGTATGTGTCTGGCGCTGCACTGGATGCAGTTGTCGGCCAGTGGTGGTGATACTCTTGCTCGGAATAGACTTCGTGAGCGTGAGGAGTTTGATTCCATCGCTTGAGACTTTTCTGGTCTTGCTGTGTGTTGTTTTGCTTTTATTATTCTTTTCCTCGCTGGCTCGATCCTTTCTTTTTTTTTCTATTTCCCTTTTTCTTTCTCACTTTCACTTTCACTTTCACTTTCACTTTCACTTTTTTCTTTTCTTGTCTTCTACATCGTGATTATTACGTCCTTGCATATATATCCATATACCCCCCGTTTGGGCGATCTAGTTGGGTGTTTTTTTTTTTAAAGGCATTCGTGAACTTTGGGACTCTTGCCTCGGGTTCTGTCTGGGCTTGACTCTGGAACATGACTGGCGTTCTTGAATATATTGAAAGACTGGGCGCTTTGCTGTCTTGATCTCTTAGTTTAATGTTGTATTTTCTTGCATATCCATACAAGTACTGTTTGTATTCCTCCATATTAGAATTATATATATTGTCTCTTTCGAAGACCAGGGCACAAGCGTTACGCCCTTATAAGTTGCTTCCAGGGCTCGCATATAGCATCAAGTAGGAGGTTACACCTGGCCAGTCTTACAATATGACGTCCAACCTCTTAGACAATCTGATAAACCGTTAGCTAAGCTGGAGTTTCACCCGTGGACGTCGGGTAGATGATCGGGCCGACGTCATCGAGTGGATTTGCACCCCACCACTTGACCTTATCCATATATTCTTTTTCTTTGCTTCAACTCGTGACTATTTCAAGGTGAGCTGACTCTTATCCATCTGAGTCAGGTTTCCAAGGTTGGATTTATCCGTTCCCGTATCAACCACATCAGCCGGTGCTCAGCCTCTTTTATTTTCTCGGGTTGCAGCTGAGCAAAACTTTTGAGGCCTGTGATTATAATCAAAATAAAACAGGCCACACCCTCTTCACTTCCCTGATTTCCCCGCCCTTGGAAATCAGACTTCTTATTACATCGTCCACTTGCAAATCGGGCGATACCCAGGCTCTCCCAACTACCACCCCACCATGACTACCGCACCACACATGCCAGCCAAGGCGCACAGCTCCGATGATGTGCACCATCGGCCAAAAGGTTAGTCCAAACTACGTCAGCACTAAACGGTGATCAAAAGCAACGATGGGATCTGACCAAGTATATTCTTGCACCAACTAAACAGGTATCCTTAAGAACTCCAACTCTTTCCAAGGCGCCGCTCCGATAGCACCCATCTCCCCGCCCTCCGTTCCAATTATCTCCGAGCCCGAGGAGACCAAGGAACTCACCCTCCAGAACACCCTGCAGAACGCAGGCCGCCGACGATCCTCATCCACCACTCACGGCTCCAACTCGCGCCGACAGTCCTCAGCCAGCGCCCATGACGAAAACGAGCCTCGTCTAAAGTGGGACGAAGCGAACCTGTACCTGACCGAGCAGGAGAAGACGGCAAAGATGAAGATCGACGAACCCAAGACCCCTTATGCGCCCCACTACGACCCCAGCGAAGATGATGAGCAGATGCGGCTCGACGAGGCACAGGAAAGCTTAATCGATGCGCAGGGCATTGTCGTCGATGAGCTGGACAAGTCGACGAAATCCACCCAGCACCGGAAGGGAGTATCAGAGGATGAAATTCCCGACCTGGAGCTCGGTGAGCCCGAGGAAAACATACAGGACATCCCTATGGATGACCCTCGTGTCTTCCGTGACCGTAGCATGAGCACGGACTCGCACAAGAGCGAGAAGCATGTTCACGTCGGTGTGGATGGTGTAAATGGCGCCGAGGCGCCTGAGCATGATCCGCTTTTGACTCCCGAAGAGGCTCGCGCGAAGCACGCTCATTTCGAGCAACAGCGTAAGAGGCACTATGAGATGAGGAATATCAAGGAGCTACTTGCGTATGTTGATCCTGGTCTAGTATTGATACTTTGATTTTGTGAGCTAACTTTATATATCTAGCCATCCTGAAGATTTAGATGAGGAGATGGAAGATACCGACGGTTCGGAGCCTGGCCCCCCACCGTCTATGCCTCAAATGCCTGAGCGGTTCCGCAACAACGGACTATAGAGATATTCTGGCTTCCTGGTCCCTTTTCTGGACTTTTCCTGTGCTTTCGTATCTTTGGGTCTAGTTATTTCCCCTACGGTGGTCCTAGTTGATTTCGGACTTGCCGTCGCACCAGTCTTTCCTGTTTCTTATTCTATGTTCTCTTCTGTTGTGTATATTCCCCCAGTGCCATCCCCCTCTACCGGGATTTTTATTCTTGTTCATTTCCTAGTCTGGGTTTCCACTTGGCAGGTGATTTCTTCTCTCGAGACTCAGGTCTACCCCTGTGGCTGTTCAGCTCACGGGAAATGAATACATGATTTACGTTACAGAACCTCATACATGTAGACATCGTTAGTTCTTTTATCTAAATAAGCTCCTGGAGATTTGAAGGCCATCCCTGGGCTTGTCCTACACAGATATAAAGGGAAAAATAAGTATCTTTCCCGTGTTACTAGATAATCCCTATCGTCTTTTAATACTACATACCAACCACAATTTGTAATTTAAGAATGGCCTAAATCACAATTGGGGTTCAGTTGGTATTCGCTAGAACCACTGGGTATCAATGCACATCAAACACAGTATTCACATTGGTCGAAAGTGAGGAAAAGCAATCATAGCATTGCATCTGCAGCCAGTTTATGGAGTACGTAGTACTGGTGTCTCATTAGTTGTTTGACTTGGGGGCAAATATAGGCGATCTCCCCCTCAAACCAGCTACGTTTAATTTATATATTTTTCTCCTACATTCTTCCTTCATTCCCAACCTTTTCTGTTTTCCTTTTTTTCTTTTTTTTCTTTTACTCTATTTTGTTGATTGACCCAGAGCCGCCGTTCAATTCATAGACTAGGCCTTCGATATGTTTCCTTTGCCGGATACTAGGAAACAGGTCCAATGGCGAACATGGGGATATCGCTGGCGCTCGTCAGATACATTTATTCTCAGCAGCATGTCTATGGCATTGTTCACAGGTTTGTGCATTGAACTATTACATTGAAGAGATTGGATTTAATATAATGACCGAAATTGCTTCTTTAGATGAAATGCTATTCGCCTTCATGGTCCCTCTGCTCCCTCACATCTTCGAAAACCGCTTAGAACTAGACACATCCTTTACCCAGCGATTAACTTCTATATTTTTAGCTGAAGGAGCATTGATATCTATCATCTCGAGCCCATTTATCGGGGATATAGCCGACCGCGCCAGCTCCAAGAAGGTTCTACTTCTCGTGTTGCTGGTCCTAACCCTGATCAGCGTATTATGTCTATCAATCACTACATCCCGTGAGTTTCTGTTTTATATACTGTGTATCGCACCACTTCCTATTTTACTAACTCATCCATAGTAACCTGGCTCTTCATCGGTCGCTTCTTCCAATGCATTGTCAGCAACGCATTATACATCGTCAGCATGGCTACAATGGCCGAGAACATTGGTTCAGAGCACATAGGCAAGATAGCAGGATTAAGCTCAACCCTCACGGCAGCTGGAACATGTTCCGGTCCTGTCATTGCTGGGTTTCTCTTCGGAATTGGAGGATATTGGACAGCATGGGCTGGCGCCGCTCTATTTCTCGTCGTGGATATCATCATGCGACTACTTATGATCGAAAAACCGCAGAAACGCCATGATGTCGCTTGTCGCAGTCACAATGGATCTCTATCCGCTGAAGAACATATACCTTCATCTGAAACAGAACCACTTCTCAATGAAGAGCGGTCGTCGATTACCGAGGAAATCGGCGGCTGGCGCTTCTACTTCTATCTTTTCCGTCAACCTTGCTTTACAGCGGGGATTGCTTGCTATTTCGTCTTTGCGCTGTTTATTGCTAGTTTCGAGTCTACAATTGCGATGCATGTCCGGTCCGCTTTTGGTTGGGGTGTTTTCCCCGTCGGGCTTTTGTTCGCGTCTATACAGGGACCCGGGATGATTTTGGCTCCTCTTGTTGGGTTGTTGAAGGATCGGGTGGGTTCGAGGGTTCCTACTACCATTGGATTTATCTCTGTTGCGCCTTTTCTTTGGTTTCTTGGTGTCGCTGGCGATGAGCGCTTTCCGTGGGCTACTTTGGGGACTAGAGGGAAGATAATTTATGGAGTCTGTACGACTATGATTGGGTGTTTTACGTGCTTGCTTATGGGGGTTGGGACGATGGAAGCAACTGGTAAGTTTGGGATGTTATTGTTGGGAGCTGGAATACTAATGTGTGTGTGTTTTTTTTCTTTTTGCAGCAACCGTTGATGAGTTGGAGGACTTGCATCCTGGCATATTCGGCCCATATGGAGGGTATTCTCGGGCCGTTGCTATCACAAATATGAGCTGGATGTCAGGTCTACTTGTCGGACCCATCTTGGCTGGGTTTATGGTTGAAAGATTTGGGTATTTTGAGCTGCAGTGTGTACTCGGTAAGTTATTTATATCACCGTCTGGCTTCCCGCTCTAATGATATAATTATATCTAGTGGTCATTTCCTTGCTGGCTAGCGTCAACGCTGCCTTGAACCTCAGTTTAGCCACTCCGCAAAAGAAAGAGTGTGATAATGACTTCGGGAATGATGAACTCTAACTGCTACATATCCAAGAGAATACAAAATATGCGGCAATTATTTTGATTCAGCTTGTTTAGCGAACAAATTCAGTATGCACAAGAACCCATTTACAGGATCAGACAACTGCCGGAAACATGCCAACAGATGCAAATCGCAATAATTGGATCTACGGCGTATTCCACATATAGCTGGCATCTGCACCTTGCCAACTCCTTCACCTCTTTGGCCAATGTGCTTCCACATATGCAAGTTGAAGGTTTCGGTCACGTCTGCCTGCGTCCGTTTCCGAACAGGTGGCTTGGCTGAAGCTGACTGCATAGAGTTTTACTCCCTTGTGCACGGAGTACACCGTAGATTTACCAGTATCATGATCTGCATGGGAATCTAGTTCAAATATAATATTATTCCAAAGGAATACATTTTGTTAGTAGGGGTGTTTAGAGATGTCAAGATACACGCTGCAGTGTGAGGTTATTTCATTGGAAAGTGGAAGACGCTAAGTGCTAGACACTATAAAATCCGAAACCCCCCCTAATTTCTTTTATAATTGTTCTAGCCACCTATACTGAGTAAGAAAATCCATAACGAAGGTATCGCATGCGCGAAAGAAAGTACCCCTTATGCAATGGTAGCGCGCGAGACTTCCAATCCTGTTTTGCTTGTAAATATGCTGGAAAGCCCTCCCTATGCTCCTTATGTAGATGAATCCTTTGGCAAAAACAAGGGCAGAGGTGTATTTTGAGAGGTATGCTAAGGGGGCCAAGGAAGATTTAAGTGTTTGGAAAGCAAAAGCTCCGTTTGACTTCTTGGTCAATGGAAGGTCGCCCAAGGACGTTGCAAAGATGCTTCCTAGGTTTCTCGATTATAACAGAGGGGCTTGCACATGATGAAATCTGATGGAGAGACCTGATTACATTTTTGCTCTTATGAGCCGTACTATATTTCATTACACTTCATCGTGGCTCCAATTTTAACCCCTATAGTATTGATAATGCCCTTGTGGGATTGAAAGGGGTAATCTTATATTGAACTTCAAATCTTTCTTGTCATGAAAATAGGATACAACTTTGGAACAATCGCAATGATCACTCTTTTGCGACAGAAGTTGACAATACCTTCCATACATATTGACATTTTTTTAAAATAAAGGCTCAGAGCTTGCGGGATAGCTGTCAACCCAGACTATCCCAATTGAATGTACAGAGTATTTATTGTGCAGATAATACTTTCTTGAAATCCACATAGTCATCTACAGTAGATCCTAGAATGAATTCAAGCTGGAACTTCCAGTACTAAAGTAGCGAACAGCTCTAAGCTATTCTTCTCCGTCGTCTTGAATATAGATCCGAGAGGTATGCTACGAAGTTGGATAGAAACCCATGTACGGAGTAGTGTAACAAGTGTGGGTGCTATGTAGGTTAAGTAATATTTCGCATATGTGATGTGTGTACTCCGTACTTCATTTAGGAAAATAGTAGTTATGACGATTATTGAAGCTATTGAAAGCTATGTGAGGTGTGCATAATGATAGGAATCATAGGCTAAGAACATTGAAATCTTCTATATGGAAAATCCCAGTTTATAGCTCACATATAACGCTTGATCCCCAAACCAAGTACAACATTGCTATTCACACGTCAAACTTCAAAAATATCATAAAACAAAAACATAGGAAACCCCTTAGAAAAGAACAAATAAAAATAGATTCTAGGTGGATGTGATATATCATGAAACAAGGAAATATAGCTCCAGGGCTGACAGGTGGGGGGATTGATAAGTGGTCCGATTATTGACAAGGCAACTGCACCCCCTGTGAATTTAAAACCCCCTATTTCTTCTAACCTCAACACACCCTCACTTTTGATCCTATCAATCATGCCGGAAACTACTGAGAATGCGCCCGTTGCGCCTGTTGCGCCTGTTGCGCCCGTTGTTCCTGAGAAGCCCAAAGAAACCGTCGAAGTAGTGGATAAGCCGGTGGAAACTCCCGCGACTGCTGCCGAAAACACCGAACAGACTGCACCCAAAGATGAACCTGCCAGTGACCCAGTCAATGAGGACGTAGCTTCAAATGGGGCTACTGCCGCCACCACTGCCGCTACAGAGCCCGAAGCGGCAAAGCCCGAAGAACCCAAGGTTGAGAAGCCAGCCTACCTGAGCAAGAACCCGGCGTTGGGCGAGTTGTTCAACCGCCTGCCAACCATCCTCGGAAACATTGGTCACACTGAGATGTGGGGAGTGCCACTCAAGGATAGCGACGATATTCCCACCGTCAACGTGCTGATTAAGTTCCTGCGCGCAAACGAAGGCAATGCTAAAGCCGCCGAGACCCAGCTCAGCAAGGCACTTCAGTGGCGCAAGGAAGTGAACCCGCTAGCACTAGCAGAGTCCGCGAAATACAGCGCCGCCAAATTTGGAGGCTTGGGATACCTGACCACCTATGAAGAGAATGGACGGCCCTTGGTGTTTACTTGGAACATCTACGGAGCCGTGAAGGATATCAGTGCGACATTTGCGGATACTGATGAGTGAGTACCCAGCGTGAAATGTTATTGTAATTGAAATCAATGCTAACTAGCCGCAGATTCGTCCAATGGCGTGCCGCTCTCATGGAACTCGCTGTGCAGGACCTGAAGATGAAGGATGCCACCGAGGTCATCGAGTATGATGGCGAGGATCCCTACCAGATGATCCAAGTGCATGATTACCTGAATGTCAAGTTCTTCCGTATGGATCCATCTGTCCGTGCCGCAACAAAGAAGGTCATCGAAGTGTTCGCTACGGCATACCCAGAGCTCCTGAGTGAGAAGTTCTTCGTCAACGTTCCCGCTATCATGGGCTGGATGTTCACCGCCATGAAGTTTATCCTGAGCCGGAACACCACACGCAAGTTCCACCCAATCACGAACGGCGCCAACCTGGCTCGAGAGTTCTCTGCTTCGATTGCCGAAAAAATCCCCAAAGTCTATGGTGGCAAGGGCCCGGAGCTGAAGGAGAATGCTAGGTTCATCCCACTGGTCGAAGAGAAGGAACAGGAGACTAAGGACAAGGGCAAGTCTCCCGAGCAGCCTACTGTTGCTGAGCCTACGAAGGAGGCGGCGGTTGCAAAGGAAGAACCCCCCCAAGACGGAGGCTGCGAAGGAACCCCAGGAGGAGGCGCCATCGAAGGAAGAAACTCCTAAGGTGGAGGCAGCCCAGGAGGAGACTGCTAAGGAGCCCACCAAAGCAGATGCTCCCAAGGCTGAGTCTCTGAAGGAAGAATCTGCGAAGGATGGAGCCCAGTAGATCGATACTTGGCTGGTGCTTTCTGTTATGATACCCGGAGGAGCAGTGAATAACACTCCCCGCTCTTGTGTACCTGGTTTCAGGTTATTGGTGTGCTCTCTCAAGATGCACTGTATTGTTAGTACCTAATTGTTAGTCATATCTAATTTTATTATTATCGGTTTGTGGCCATAGTCAAGATTGATAGATGTTTGATTGAAGCAAAAGTATCTCGATGTAGGCTGTACCCAGGTAGTAGGGCAGCTTATACGGGTGACTGTAGAACCACTCGCGCAACTCTTATCGGCAAGCTTTCACCTATGCGGTGCCTGTTCACTTTATTCATTCTATCCGTTGGGGTTTGCCGCGTTTCATTCATCATTTAAACACAATACCGGCTCAATATAAAGGGGCTGTTATTGTCTAATCTGTGGATCCGCTGGCGGTGGCCTCAGAATGCGACTCGCCTTCTAAACCTCATCTGCCACCTCGTCCCTCGCGCTTCACCTCACTTTTCGCAATAGCGCCATAACTATCTAGAACCGACTTTGACCCGATCTTTCCCTCACACGACTTCATTCCAGACTACGCCCTTTCACCATGTCTGTCTGGAACCCCGATAACATCCGCGACGTCGCCGAATCCGTCGGTATCCTCAACCTCAATAACGATGTGACTGAGAATCTCGCTCGGGATGTCGAATATCGCGTTGCGCAGGTGCTTGAGGAAGCACTAAAGTGTATGCGCCACTGTAAGCGCACGGTTCTTACTACTCAAGACATCGCGCTGGCCTTGCGCAACCTGGACGTGGAGCCGTTGTATGGCTACGACTCCACCCGTCCGTTGAAGTTCGGCGAAGCCTCTCTAGGACCTGGTCAACCGCTGTTCTACGTCGAAGATGAGGAGGTTGACTTTGAGAAGTTGATCAATGCACCTCTGCCAAAAGTTCCCCGCGAAGTCTCCTTCACTGGTAAGTGGATAATAAATACCCTTCCCTACTTAGATGTGCTGTCCATTCACTAATGTCTACTCTAGCCCACTGGTTGGCCGTCGAAGGTGTGCAACCCTCGATCCCTCAGAACCCAACTGCTGCCGATTCTCGTAACCTCGAACTGGTCTCGAAGGGTCCGAATGCGAACTCCACACTGGCAGCAATTAGTGGCACAGGCGATGTGGCTGTCAAGCCACTGGTGAAGCATGTGCTCTCAAGGGAACTCCAGCTCTACTTTGAGAAGGTTTGCAGCGCCTTTTTGCACGAAACAAGCGAGGATTATCGCACCTCTGGGTATTCCAGCCTTCGCGAGGACCCAGGTTTGCACCAGCTGGTGCCTTATTTTGTCCAATTCATCGCCGAGAAGGTTACGCACAGCCTCAAGAATGTTTTCGTTCTAACTCAGGTGATGCACATGGCCGAGGCGTTGGTCCAGAACCAGTCACTTTACGTGGACCCTTACGTGAGTAGACCCCCTCATTGGAAGAATATGTCTAGACACTAACCGCACCAGATCGCATCCCTCGTACCATCCATTCTTACCTGCCTCATCGGTCGACAGCTTGGTGGAACTGCGGATTTCGTGGAGTCCTTCGCTCTGCGGGATATGGCCGCTTCTCTCCTCAGCCTCATCGCTAAAAAGTACTCCCATTCATCGCACATGCTCAAGCCTCGACTCGTGCGCTCCTGTCTCAAGACCTTCCTCGACCCTTCAAAGCCATTCGGTTCTCACTATGGTGCCATCATTGGATTGCAATCTGTCGGTGGCTCTGAGGTAATCCGAGTCCTCGTCATTCCCAATCTGCATGAATATACCAAACTTCTCAGCGATGGATTGGATGATGCTGCCCGTCGTCCTGCTGCAGAGCGAGTCCTGAATGCACTTGTGGCTGTGTTGGCTTCGTTGCGTGGCAGCCAACCATTTTTGACCAATGGTCATGCTGTCACAGACGATCTCCGCTCCAAATTGGTTGACAAGGTCGGTGAGATCATTGCGGCAAAGATTGTGGAGGCTGGTGAGGTGCAGTTAGCACATATCATTTTGGAAGCATGAATAGCTTTCTCGGTTTTCTGCATGATATCTCTCGGGAATTTTTTGCAAATGAGCTCGCGATGAAATCATTTGTTCATGCGACATGGCGTTATCTCAGGCGTTGGTTCGGGGATTATGGATACCTAGGTAGACATATTCAGGCCTCTGGATATGGTTTTTTAATTGCATGACACAGCCAATGATCATTGTGTTTCATATGGTAACAACTCCATCTATAGAGATCCTGCTTATGTAGTGAATTGCCTCTGTATTTGTGAGTCAGTGGCTACTGGACCTCGACCTTTCTACCGTGTGTACTTGGTACATTGATACTTGCAGCTCTAGACATAAAGATGTACATAGGTACCATAGTACAGTACTTGAGATCTCCCCGCTCCAGGACTCCCCGCTTGTTATATGCCGAGTCAGCATTACATAATATGCAGCGCCAGGGACAAAGTTTAATTCTGCTGGCTATCACCGCTCTTGTGAGAACCGGGCCTCGCCCAGTTTGGCTCTCTTTTTTTCCCGCCATTTCCCCTCTGACAGGTGTCTGTGACGGTCTGCATATGACTGCAGCTTTTAACTTGCCCAATTTGTATGTAACGTATCACAAGGCTCCAATACATTCCCTGCAATTGACGCATCAACTAACACAATCTTTTTCCCTGATGTCAGACAGATTTTGATCCGTTTGCCCCACCCTATCGCGGGCCCACAGAGAAAATCACTCATTACCAACCGAACTGGTATTTAGCAAACATTTTGCACTTCCCCTCCCACTCGAGGTCCCCAAGGCCAAAACAAAAAAAAAAATCTTTCGCCAATATCTTTGAGCGAGAGACTCCTTATTCTCTCTAGCCGAGCAATCAATTCCTGATCTCGGGCACTCATTGGGCTTCTGGGTGAGACTGTCCTACAGACAAACCCCGCCGATGTTCACGATCGTGGCCCTCCGCTACCTCGTGCTGATCTAAGCCGAACTTGTCTTCGCCTTCCATGAGCCCAACTGACCTTCTGCGATTCTTGTCCAAGCCCGCGAAGTAAGTGTGATTTTCGCTCTATCTTTGGAGAAGCGCCGATTGCCAAAAGCAATCAAAGGCATTGGATCAGGATATCATGGTCAATGCCATGATTTCGAATACAGAAAATGAATTTCCATGTGTCGATCTTCTCTTATAGCTCTTGTTCTAATCGCTATACTGCTCTAGGCCTCGATAACGCGACTCCCGTCGTCACCAACTCTCCCATCCTCCAAACCTTTTTTTAAAGCAGCATTCTCGTCTGCTAGACCCGATACTTTGACGGGTATCGGTATCTTCCAGGACGAGAGTACCGACTGCTAGTCACCATTTCTCCTAGCATCTTCTTTTTGTCCTTCGCCTTCCGACCTCCTTAGCAGCCCTTCGGTCTGTTTGGAGATTACATCTGCCTGGTCTGACCAGTTAAGTTTTTGTTTCAGGGCCTTCTCTTCTCAGACGGGCATCGCCCCCTTGTTCGTCTGGGCAAGTAGACAGTGCTTCTACAGCCTATCTTCATCGAAGTACATAGGGCGGTCCGACGTCACTGTTTCTGCTTCGTTAAACACACACAAGTACAACAGCTCAAGCTACACCCGTCATCATGGTTTACGTCGGTATTCCAACGAACTACACCGCCTCGCCGTCCTCGTTCGCGGGGACGCCGTCTCTGACAATCAACTATGAGGCCACTCAGGATCTCGACTCGACCAATGCCTTCGAAGGTCCTGAGAAGCTTCTCGAGGTGTGGTTTGCACCCTCTGCCGCTGAATTAGGCGCCGCCGGCCCCGAAGGCCTTAAGAAAGTGCCCGGGGAAATCTGGAAGGATATGTTAGACCTGGTCAACTGCCAGGTGCTTTCCGTTATTTCCTCCGATGAGATGGACGCCTACCTCCTGTCCGAGTCCAGCATGTTTGTTTGGCCGCACAAGTTGATTCTCAAGACGTGCGGAACTACCACCTTGCTTTCGGGACTTCCCCGCATCTTGGAAATCGCTGCCTTGTTCGCAGGGTTTCCACGCGCCACGGCCCCTCCATCCCGGGGTATCACAGTGGCTGCGGCTCCCTACCGAGTCTTCTACAGCCGGAAGAACTTTTTGTTCCCTGACCGTCAGCGTGGCCCTCACCGCAGCTGGCGGGATGAAGTGCGATCTATGGACAGGTTGTTCGCCAACGGCAGCGCCTACATGATCGGCAAGATGAATGGAGAACATTGGTATCTCTACCTTACCGAGCCTGGCACCGTGCTCACCCCACCGGCGAGCCCTAAGGAGGAGGTTAACTTCAATGAGACCGAAACCAAGGTCCTTAACTTCCCTGATGCCAATCCGCGCACTGACTGTGACGAGCACGATGAGACCCTCGAGGTTCTGATGACCGACCTTGACGAGGAAAACGCTAAGCAGTTTTATCTCGAAAACGCCACTGTTGTGGCCGAGAAGCGTCACCGCAACTCGGAGAAAGACGATGGTACTGATCACCTCGACGTCTTCAGCAACACCTCCGACATGGATGAGGAGACTGGTAGCACCCTGCCAGCCGAGCTCACCACCGAGGGTCACGCTCTGGGTACTGTCGTCTCTGAGGCATGCGGCCTGTCCGACGTGTACCCCAAGAGCAAGTTCCCGGATGCTCGCATCGATGCGTACCTCTTCACTCCATGTGGCTTCTCTGCCAATGGCGTTGTGCCGGCTCCTGATGGCAACGCACCGACCCACTACTTCACCGTGCATGTGACACCGGAGCCTCAGTGTTCGTACGCATCTTTCGAGACCAACGTCCCGCACTCTCAGAACGGCAAGGCTACTGCCGACATCATCCAGCAGGTTGTTGAGATCTTCAAGCCTGGCCGTTTCAGCATCACCTTGTTCGAGACGAAGCCCGCGTTGGATGAGCTCGAAGAGGCGAATGGGCAGCATGATGTGGCGCACGCTCAACGCCAAGCTGTTCGCCGCAGCAACAAGATGGAACACGTCGAAGGCTACCGTCGTGTCGACCGCATCGTCCATGACCTGAACGGTTACGATCTTGTGTTCCGTTACTACGAACGCAATGACTGGAAAGGGGGGGCACCGCGACTTGGAGAGAACGGATTCTGAGGTGACTTGGTTTCTCAGCCATCCGCCTTTGGGCTATTCTCTCCTCGCGGGTGCGACCTTTCTATCCGTTTGGGTTTCTTGTCACCTTGGCATTCAACATTTGCACAGTTCTCTTTATTTTGTTCATTTCTTGTGTCCATTTTATTTCCTTACATAGTGCACAGCATCGCATGATTAAGCTGAGCGACCCATTCTTTCGGCATTCTTTACAGTGGTTCAGTCGAGAAAGCTCGAATCATAGGTACATCGAGCTTCGATTATTCTCGGAATTTCGTCGTTCTGTCACTCCTTTGATCATATATCATACCTGGCTTCGAAGACTCATTTGCGGGGTCGATTTAAGCATCTTGAACCACAATCGTTATTTTCGGCATCATCTTGGTTTCAGTGTAGAGTGTAAATTCCAGAGTTTCTAAACATGTACTCCGTACAGCGCCCTATATGAATAGGGCTATTGTGTGACTAAAATGGAAGGCGGTGAGATGCGTCCTTATCTCATGTCTCCAAATTACTTCCAATCGATTGACTAGCTACTTTGACTGAAACTCCACTACAAAATCACATCGCCATCTATGATCCTTTGAGAGATTTCTTACTATTCCTCGGATAATCGAAACTAGCACTCATTCCTCATTACAATCCGAGGTTGATATACACCTTCCTCGCCTGGCGCAACAGCGCAGCGCGAAATCCTCGGCCCTCGAAAGAGCTTCAGCTTGCGCTCATACTCTATTGAGTAGACTAGGCATCGTCGCAGTTGAATGTACTGAATACGAGTCTATCGAACCATAACACGCACAGTACATTCCGCCCCTGTTTATCCGCTACAACCTCTCAAAATGTCGTCACCACCACCATATCAATCATCACCTAATCCCCTCAAACGACCCTCCATCTCCTCCTCCACCTCACAGCCGCTTGGAAAGAAGCAGCGCATGCACCCACTCCGCCAGACTTCATTCCCGACCGGCATCGATGTTGGAGATCGCAGTTTCGGGGGTACCAGTGAAGCCGGGAGCGTGACAGGGAGTTTCACAGGGAGCCTGGGCGGAGCAAGCGCAGATGGAGTCTTCTCTGCTGCACGGGGAAAGAAACGAGGACGCAAGAGTAAAGCCGAGAAAGAGCGGGAACGGGAGCGTGAAGATGCTCTCAGCGCTAGAGCGGGAGATTCTACACGGTTCGGATCAGTCGATAACGAGGGTTCGGTTAGAGGTGGTCCTTCTGGCGGTGGAGGTGGTGGTGGAGGTGCTGATGATGCGGATGACTATGACGAGGACGATGAGGCAGAGCTATTTGGACAGCAAGAAGGAGCTACAGATACAGAGGCTGAGAAGAAGAACCTAGCGTTCGTTTTCTCCTGTTATTCTGGTCACATTGGATGAAGCTAACGTTGATTTTGGGCAGGATTCTGGTTGATGCTTTCAACCCCATGCAATCAGAGCGATACGATCTCTTCAAACGAGCGAAGCTGCGCAAAGAAACACTCCGCCGCATCGTTAACCATGCCCTCTCACAATCCGTCCCAGCCAGCGTGGTGACGACTGTCAACGGTTTCACCAAGGTCTTCGCCGGTGAAGTCATTGAAATGGCGCGAACAGTTCAAGCCCAATGGGCCGCAGCACACGACCTCGCTGCGCGCGATGCGTTCGAGGCCGAAGAAGCCGCTGCCGAAGCCGCCGCCCAGGCGAAAGCATCTGCAAACTCGAAACCCTCTACACCAACCCCCGCAGGCACACCAGTCCCTGGTTCGACTTCTGCCTCTTTCAGCAACGGAGTTAAGAAAGAACCACTTGACTCTAACCGTACGCCTACACCCTCTATCCCAACTCCGACTCCTCTCCGCCCCAAGCGCGAGTTCCGTCCTCCACCAAACCCACACCGTGGCCAGCTTCTACCATCACATCTGCGTGAAGCAGTACGGCGGACAAAGCGTGATGGCGAAGGTGGTGGAGTCGGTTACTCAGGATTAAGTCTGGAGAACTTGGGAGTTCGAGGCTCATTCACGTGGAACTCGGGAAGTGCAGGTGGGAGAAGGCTTTTCCGATAATCACCCAACTGTCTCTTTCATTGCATACCGGCGGGCTTTTGTTTTACTTTCTTTTCATGTCTAATACAGTATGATCGGCGATCTGGGATTTGCGGGGAAATTGTTACGACAGACAGGGTCTGGTTCGGCTTTGATATGATTAATTCTCTTCTGCAACATACCATGTACTATCAACGGGGTTGAGATGCCCTTCATTGGGCCTTCATTCACTAGTATCCTTGTATGCCGTAGATGGAGCCTCCGGTCTTAAATTAGAACCTACTCGTACTCGTATCCAATCGCACATTCCACCAGATTCGATACATCGAACCTGGAAGCCCTCTTGGCAGGGGTGAAGAATGTCCGTATCATTTACGACGCATCTATGTACTCCGTGTGAGCAAGCATGATTCGTATTGGTCGATATCATAAGGCTTCGTCTAGGGATAGGGATGATTATATGCTCCATTTTCTATCGTCTTCCCATAGTCTCTCACATCTGATTTTCCCTTTGTATCGAATCGCTGTTTTCAACCCAGCCAAGTCCACTCCGCGCCTATAGGTAGTGTAACAGACATGCCAAGAACGGCCATGTTCCTCCTAGACGACGCTATTTGTAGGAGGTTGGTGTTTTTCGCAACTTCCATATTGCTGCCTATATAGCTAGATGGTCTGATTGGGTACATTGGCATTTTCGGAATTAGGGCTATTCTCAACGTCATACAAGATACGGAGTAACGGAGTCAAGATGGACTAGATGGCAATGGTTGGAATATCTCTTCCAAAAACAGGAATCAGGTAGATCATTGGACCCTGCAGAAACCCGCGCAGCAAGGGCCTGACGTTTTCATCTGCAATGTGGGACTAACATAGGCCAGTGTGCACCTGTTTCTCTGGGAGTATACGATTGGATCTGGACATAAGGGTTGCCACTTGCAGGGCCGCGTCGACTTCAACTCCTTCTTTCTTGGCAGCCTCTTTCTTGATGTGATCGCCGGTTAGGGTTCTAGTGCCCAGTGTCTATCTTGGATGTCTTGGATGTCTTCGCTTTTCTTTGTGTTTCCTTTGACTGTGAGCATTTCTTCTTTGTATACTTTTATTTTCGGTTTGGAGTGAGAGCTAGCCCACGCTCTGTCTTTTTATTTCATAGCCTGTGGTTCTTATTCGAATATTTGCATCGTGGGACTTCTTTTTATAATGCAATACCTCCAACCTTCTCATCTATACACCCGTTTAATAGACACAATACCCACATCCATACCTTTACCTTGGTCCTCCGATCCAGCAGTGAAAGGAGATCCCAAAAAGAGTGTTAAATGGATTGATGTATGTTTTGTTTTTGTTTTTTTTGGAAAACAGCCAGTGCATATGATACAATATGATACAATCTAACATTGATTCAACTTTTAGGGTCTCCGAGGAATCGCCTCATTCCTAGTAGTCCTCACCCATCTCGCCCGAGCCTGGGACTATGGTCTATTCTCACCACGCGACAACGAAAAAGCCACCCCACGAATCCTCCAATGGCCCATCCTCCGCATCCCCTGGCAAGGCCGCCTGGGCGTAACAATCTTCGCCTTCCTAACTGGCTATGTCTGCGCGCTCAAACCACTCAAGCTGTCGCGAGCAGGTGATACAACAGGGGCATTCGAAACAATAGCAAAGAGCGCCTTTCGTCGACCGCCACGACTCATCTTCCCGGCAACGATTGCGCTGTTCATTTCGTGGATTGTCGCGCAATTCGGCGGCTTTATAGTTGCCAATAGGTCTGATTGCTGGTGGTGCCGATATGCGGCACCAGATCTGGCAGATTCCTTCTGGAAGGAACTTCTTCGTCTGCCGATGAATTTCTTGTCGACTTGGACGACCGGATATATGGCGTACGATGATCATCAGTGGGCACTGCTACCACTGCTTTGTTCGTCTATGTTGGTTTTCCTGGTGCTTTCCGCGACCATGTTCGTCAAGTTTCGATATAGGGTTGTGGTCTATATTGGAATGCTATTATATTTCCATCAGAATGCAGGAAAGGATATAGGTGAGTCTTGCTCGCAGAGGATACAACATATGAGCTTCAATCTAGGGGTTCTAGTGCTTGAAGACAAAATAATCTGTTGCTAATTGCCGATTCTATAGAAACTTTCCAAATGCAGGCCATCTACGGCATGCTCCTCAGTGACTTCTCCTACCACACAGCTCTCAAAGACTGGATAGAACAACACCCGCGAGGAAGGAAGATGATCACCATTCCACTCACAATTTTCGCATTGCTCATCGCTTCATACCCCGGTGAACATCCCGAATGGGCCGGTTGGTCTAACGTGATGCTCAAAGCAAGCCATTACATATTCCCGCCAGGCGTCAATGTCGGGAAACGCTATACCGCACTCGCAATTGACATGATCATCCTGGCGATCTTTTTCTCCCCCTTCGACAAAGGACTTCCTCTCCAGCAGACTTCTCCTCTGGCTCGGCAAGCAGAGTTTCGCTGTTTACCTCATCCACGGAACTATGTTGCGCGTTGTCCTCTGCTGGATGCTATATGGCATCAGCGGTCAGCCGTGGAAGGGCCCTGAGCCATTGACTGACGACAAGCGCGATGACTGGTTGCGTATCCGGCCGCCGTGGGTCGTTGGTATTAGTATTCCGATCTGGATTGGGCTTGTTTATGTCCTTGCGACGCTGTGGACGGCGTATGTGGATACATTCTGTGCTTCTATGACTCAGAAGCTGGAGAAGGCTGTTTTTGTTGAGGACGAGAAGACACCGTTGCCTTCGCAATCGATCCCTATGCAGACGACTTGATATTCTTTCTTTTTTTTTTTTTTTCCACGTGCGACGTGCTGATACTATAGATTTGGTTGGTTTGACCTAGGCTTTGGGTGTTGTGTGATCTAGTAATACTTGCTTTTCTTTGACATGGCTGGTCCATGGCTATAGATGTAAATATCACTTGTTCTGGTTATTCTCTTTCCTGACTGAGTCTTTAATCAATGCGATAGCAAGATGAGTGATGCAAGCCTCAATTATAGAAGTGTACATAGCCAAAATGGAGATTGTGGTCGAACTAAATTCTACTCTTCAAATCACAAAAAGATAATGCAAATGCCACTGCGCCATATTTTACAGTTTGTATAAACACACGCCGATCAAGCACGGCGAGAACCACGTCGCCCGTTAGGGTTGCGAGCAGCCGCTTGGCTATTCTTCAAAGACTTGCTCGCCTTGGCTCTTTCGTTCTCCAGGGTTTGCATGTGCTCCTTGCGACGAGCCTCGTTACGCTCTCTCCGCATGAGCTCATCCTCGTCCTTTCGCTGTTGTTCGTATTCATCTGCGCGCTTCTTGTGGTCCTTGGCAATACGTTGCTCGACTGTGCCAGTGCCCAGGGTTTCTGACATTGACTTAGACAAGCTGGAGCCGGCTTTCCCGAACTTCTGGTAGATGCGGTCAATGAAGCTGATCTTCACATCTTCCTGTGCAGGTGACACAGGGATTGCGGTGCGGGCTTTCTCTAGCGCGGCCTTTTCCTTCTCAAGTCGCTCAAGAAGTTGGCGAAGGCCCTTGCTTTGGGTGCTTTGGGTGACTGCTGAGTACTTCGGTCCATTGGATGGCTTCTGAGCGATCGACAAGGACATCCACGTCCGGAAGGCGTTCGAGTTGATCAGGTAAGTTTGACCCAGGCCGAAAAGACCGGTTGCCACGAAGTAGAACTGGAGGGCACTCGGCATGAATGCCATGAAGGCAAAAGACATGACGGGGAAACCGTATATGATGTATTTTCCTGCTTCGGTTTGCATCACGGGCATTTGGCCGGATTCACCACCTCTCTGTTGTCTTGGGTTAGTATCGCGGCTATAGTAGACGACATAAGACCTGAACTTACCCTCAGAGATAGACACAATGTGCCCGCAGCAATCATGGGCAAGATGTAAGTGGGGTCAGCAACAGTCAGGTCTTTAACCCATCCCGCTGTTTCCGTGGCCAGGGCCGGCACCGGCAACGAAGTCATGGCTCGCACGACTCGGAAGCATCCGAAACCAAGTGGAATTTGCAACATGGGAAGGAAGGACTTCCAAGTCTTGATGCCGTGAGCATTATTGATCTCCTTGAGCTGGGCCCTTACAATCTGGGCTTCCTGCTGGTTCCCTTCGGTCGAGGCAGCGACCATTCTTTGCCGGAGAGGGTCGGTCTTGGATTTGGCGTTGGTCATTCTTGCTGCGTTCTCGGATGCGCCAATGACAGGCTTCAGCATTGCAACACGGGTAATAAGACCGACAGCCACGATACTAGCCCACCATGGCAAGCCGGTCCAGATGTGAGTGTGCTCGATAAGCCATTGCATCGTCGACGAAAAGCCCCAACCGAAGTCCAACCCAAGTTCCTTAAGGTATCCAATGCGTTCCGGGATCGTGGTAATATCGTGTATATTTACCCCATTCTTCAATGTGCCGTCGAAAGCGAATTCGGGGAGTGCTGAGTTGGAGGAGGTGGAATTAAATCGGACTGCGGCCGGGCCGATAGCAGCTGGTGCCATGCGCCATGGAGCACTTCCGGATAGTGCTGACTTCAATTGGCCGCGCTGGCTAGGGAACCGCAGGCTTTGTGACCGCAAGGTGGACATCTACAAAGCCAAGTCAATTTCGATGTTTTTGCAAAGTCCAAGTCAACGGGGGAACAGACAGATCGAGAGGAGCGGGACATGGCGGTCATCCTCTGACTCGCAAGGGTAGCGGCTGCGCCGGACCCTTTCAGGCCAACATGTCCCATCATCATGGTTTGAGATAATTAAAGATGGGGAGATAACCAACTACGGGAAGAGTTGTTCTCCTACCTTTCGGCGCGACTTTTTCTGCCTGGGCGGTAACTACCCCCGGATCACGGGTACGGGTCAGGCACGGAGACTCGAATATGGAAATATGGAAATAATCATATTCCCGATGGTCATGGACTTGGATATTCTAATATAACAAAAGCAGGTTGCAAAAGTGTGCAAAATGTAAATCCTAATTCGCCAAACGCCAACCCACCCCTGAGTCAACAAGTCTATGTACAACCACTAAATTCAGGTGTGCACAGAAAGCCAGGTATCGATCCCAAATCACAAATGCTTCGGTTTTTGTCTCCCGCGTAAATGCAGTCATTCTTGAACGAATCCAAAGGCAGAAGAATCATCAATCGCTTATTCCAAAGAAGCAGTATCCCTCAGTCCAGGACGTCTCCGCTCCGAAGGAAGCTCCCGCATCTCAACACCCGGGCCCACTGCATGTGAGCGGCGGTGGTTAGGGAAGATCTATATAATAAAAAGCAGTGAATCAGTCATCAGGATCGAAATAAGTTCATATCAAATTCCACATACCTTAGTGTTAGACCATCCAAGTCGGAAAGCAGCCTCGTGTGCGAACAGCTCTCCAAAGCCGAGCATGAGGCCATTAACGAAGGGGAGGAAGAGGTTGATGGCTGCTCCGCGCAGAAGACCCCAAACACTAGGCGGCTTGTAAAGCATCACGAGTGAGCTTGCAGTTGATGGGACCGAGGAGGACATCTCATGGTTCGCGGAGTAGTTCTCTGAGTCGGAGGGGACGGTCATAGCAGAGTCGTAGAGCTCGGCGGGCGAGGCGGAGGCGGCGTCGGAGGCCATTATTAGAATTTGAGAAGACCGAGTAGATGTGTTGTATCTTTAAATAGCGGAGTCGGACTTGGTGTTAACCCTTGATCTCGAAAAAAAAAAACGGCGAAGTAAAAGAGGCTAACGTTGATGCGATGGGCCCGATGAGCTCGCCGGGGATGCGGATTATGTCAGCATATCGTCTCCATCTATGCCCAGGTGGAGTGTCCCGTCCCGAGGACCTATCGGTTTTGTGAATAGCGTCTTGTTTACTTGAGGAAATTTCAATCTTCATCCAGGGGAATTGTAATAAAGCAGCACAGCTGTAACTTAAAAACACCTCTCCTCCAGAAAATCCGAAAAGAGGTACACTCGTTATATGAATTCTGCTATATCCATGGACATTCATAGATATAATTTTGTATTGGATTAACATTCTGGAAATAGTTTTGATCAATTTTGTTATATACTGATTTGAGAGATCATTTTGGCATGTTCTTTTTTTTCAACTCCACAAAGAATATGGACAAGAACTCAGAAATAGGGAAAAACGGGCGAAAAAGAAAAAGATTCGTAAATATAGACTAAGAATTCTAACCAACCCAGCGTCTGGCGCTGTAGAAGACACGTCCCCAAGGGCCAATATCACCCCAGGACTCGGCGTTCGGAGGCAACCAGCTGGCAATACCGTTCATGACAGTACGCTCAGGGTGAGGCATGATAGCAAGGACACGACCGTCGGGGCTGCGCACACCGGCAATACCCTCGGGACTGCCGTTAGGGTTGAAGGGGTACTTCATGGTGGGTTTGAGGGAGGCGTTGTCGACGAATCGGACGGGGGCAAGACCCTCGCGAACGAAGTCGGAAGCCGAGATGCCCTGGGAGCCGGCGAAGGAGGCACGACCCTCGCCGTGAGCAACGGCAATAGGGAGTGAAGTGCCGTCCATGCCGTGGAAGAAGACGCTGGGGCGGGATGGGTCGGGGTCGGAGATGCGAGCCATGCAGACACGGCCTTCGTACTGCTCGCTGGTGTTGCGCTCGAAGCTGGGCCAGTAACCGGCACCAGGAATCAAATCCTTGATACGAGACAGGAACTGACAGCCGTTGCACACACCCAGGGCGAAAGTGTCCGGGCGCTCGAAGAACTCCTGGAATTCCTTGCGGGTGTTCTCGTGTAGCAGAACGGACTTGGCCCAGCCCTGGCCGGCACCCAAGACGTCACCGTACGAGAAACCACCGCAGGCAGCGAGACCAGCGAAGGTGGAGAGAGACACACGGCCAGAAATAATGTCGGTCATGTGAACATCGACGGCGGAGAAACCAGCGGTGTTGAAGGCAAAGGCCATCTCAGCTTGGCTGTTGACACCCTGCTCACGAAGGATGGCAACGCGGGGCTTGTTGGCGAAGGGAGAGTATTGGGAAAGGCTAGTCATCATGGGCAAGCCCTTGTCCTTGGGGTCGAAGGTGGGGTTCCAAGAGAGACCGGGGTTGGCATCGTCAAGAATGTTGGCGTACTCCTGCTCCGCACAGTCCGCGTTGTCACGAAGCTTCTGCATGTGGTAGGAGGTCTTGGCCCAGATCTGCTGCAGGCTGGAACGGGTGTTGCGGTACACCAAAGAGGCCTTGTGGTAGATGGCAAGGTCCTGCTTGGGCTGTTGAGCCACACGTCCAATCTTGTGGATCAGACCTGGAGGAGGACCGCAAGTGGCGAAGCATGAGCGGAACTGGATCTCGTGCTCCTTGCGGACCTGGAAGACAGCACCGAGCTCTTCAGTGAAAAGAGATTCAATGACATCCTTAGTGTTGAAAGAGGCACAGATGTTATCGAGCATGATCTCAACACCGCAACGACCAGCGAACATCATCTCAACGAGAGTAGTCAGAAGACCACCATCGGAGCGATCGTGGTAAGCCAAGACAATTCCGGCCTCTTGAAGTTGCTGGGTAGCATCGAAGAAGTCCCGGAAGAGATCAACGTCGCGGATGTCAGGGCACTCGGAACCGACTTCATTGAAGACCTGGGCAAGAGCCGATCCGCCAAGAGTCTTGCGACCGGACGAAAGATCGACAAACATGAGGACAGTCTCTCCAACTTCTTCGAAGCTGCGAAGAGCCGGGGTCCAGGTCTTGGTGAAGTCGCCAACCGGCGCAAAGGCAGAGATGACACAGGACATCGGGGCAGTAACCTCCTTGGCCTCAT